AGTGCGTATGCATAAGTGTACCTTGTAGCTGCAGGCATGACGGCTCACCACCTTACCATACCTACAGGGAAAGGGACAGACAGGAGGTCCACACGGCCTCAATAACAATTAGGTTTCTTCTGAGTACAGTCAGCACATTTCATCCATCCTTCTCTCTCAGTCTCCCCGATGGCAAGAGATGTCCTACAAGGTGACCTCATCCTTTGTGCAACACCTTGAGTACCCAATTAAATGCAGTTGTTACGCTGTGTGTCTGTATGTGCATACGTGCGTGTGGAGGTGGGAATATTTTCTTTTGCCTCCCAGTTCACTTATATATCACGTTCTTTGTGTCATATTTCAACTGTCCAACACAAATGACAGCTCATTTGCCCTTGTTGTGATGCTTCTTGTTTTGCATTTATTTAGGCACTAAGCAAGATCTTACCAGGAGGGTGTTAAATGTCTCCAGTTACTTTGTAGTGTACCATGTGTGTGATGATCCATTTAAGCAAGCATTGTGTGCTGTGAAGCCTTTTATCTTGCTATATTAACTCAAACTGGGACATGCCTCATTATTAAATCCCACAGTGTAGAACATTGTCATGCACTAAGCCTGAGCTCCCTCTCCCACTCCCCAACACCAGCCCTCAGTGAGCTGTACTGCTATGGTGACATATGTGTGGGATATTTGTCACAGATGGGCTGTTTCTGCATTCTTGGGTGCTTATCTTTGTGTACATGTGGTTCTGTTAATTTTGCATGCGCGCACGTCTGGGAGTATGTGTGTGTTCTTTGGTTAGGCTTAGCTCTCTTTGCTCTGCTTGACTCTTCTTAAAAGGAAAGATAACATTGTGGTATACCGTGCAAATTCTCTTCTGTACAGCAAGTGTTTTTATCTATATGACGTCATGAGAAAGGGGGGGGGGCACAATGTTAAGGATGGACATCATGGCATCACAAAAACAGAACTTTATTAAAAGTCAAAAAGAAGACAAGAAAGTAATGGGGGCCAAAAACAAAGCAGGAAATTGACAGAGACTAAGGCAGGGAGCAACTCAAGAACAGCCACAGAGGAACAGCAGCAAACATGGGGCAACAACAGCTACAAACACACAATATGCCAAAAGGCTTTTAAATACACAGATAATGAGGAGTACATGAGGGGGAGGCGCAGAGCAATTCAATTAATCAAACACTAAGCAGGAATAAAACAAAGGTACAAAACAAGGAACCATTCCAAAATACAATACACAACAGGAATAAAACAAGAACCAAATATTAGAAAAAAAACACAAACATGGTGAGTCTCTTGGGTTTGAGATAAAAGGGGAGTCTGGACAACAGCCGACTGCTTAGCCCAGAGGTGGGCAATCTTATCTGCAAAGGGCCGGTGTGTATGCGGGTTTTTGGGATAACCTGTAGGTCAGCTGTTCAAACCCAGGTGTGAGGACTCTTCAGCCAATCAGTCCTCTAATTAGTGACCTAATTAGGGAGTTGCAGTGAAAACCTGCATACACACCGGCCCTTTGTGGATTAGATTGGCCACCCCTGGCTTAGCCCATTAAGACACACGGCAGTCATGGGGACAGGGTAACACTAGGAGCTAAGGACACAGGATGGCCAGCAACACCTGCTGGCCAAACAGGGAACAGACATACCGAAGGGACAGGACTGGAACCGACCCTGACACACAAGGTCACCTTGCGATTGAGAGTCAGGTGACTGGCGGTTTGTATTGATTCATTGCACTTGTCCCTCATTTGTGACTGAAGGTAGAAAGTATTCTCAAGTAAAATTTACCCTCGCACATACACCAACAAAACACACATACACACATTAACAGAACCACATGTACACACAGACATACAAACAGATAAGGTATCTATATCTTTGTGGGGACTCTCACCTCTATGGGCATAACCCTAACCCCAACATTGACACTTAACCCCTACCCAGTCCTAATCTTGACCAGAAGTAACCAAACAAAATACAAGACTTTGGCATTTTTAGTTTTTTGATTGCAGTCACAGATTTTTGTAAAAATGAGTTTCACCTTGTGGGGACTGAATAAGTATTCCCCACAAGGTAAAAAAAAAACAAGTTTTTATAACATTGTGAGGACATTTGGTCCCCAAAATGTAATGTATACACAACCCACAGACAAACACACCTCAAGTCCTGCTTCAGTCTGTATTGCTCCCCCCGCTCCCATACCCAGTGTATTACATTTATAGCTCCTGCCAATAGAGCTCTTGTATTTTTTGTGTTTCTCCCACTGTGCTGATTTGGAGTCCTTGAACCCAAATAAACCTGTTCTCCAGTGCCCCACCCTCGTAACTCCAGGCTGCAGTTTCCATCACACCTAGAGTGATACTCACTAATAGGAAATATGCTATCAAAACTGCCTTTTGTATATAATTCCTTTTAAGTTCCTTTTTTTTGTAAAACAGTTTTTCCCCCCACATTGCTTGATGATTTTTACTGTGTAAGATACTCTGAAATATAGAACCGTTTGCCTGAACTGTATCATTGATGCCATAGCAACAATAGCTATTAAATTTAATTTTGGTGTCTGCTATATCAAGGTTTCTCATACAATTTTGTCTGTGTTATTCATCTATGTCAAAGGAGTCAACATGTTTTAGTATGCTGATTTTAATTCCAGCTGAGATCTTAATTAATTAACCTTTATTGTTTTGAGCCTGAATGAATCAAATCATTACAATTAAATTAAACCAAATGCCTTAGCTGCAGACTAAAATGTTATTATATACCAGTTGCAGGTGAAGTTATTACAGTACATTCTCAGAAGCAGGAATAAATGAGAATTAACATTATTGTTTGGGTCGCTAAAGAATGGCCAATCAGTTATTTAACAGATAGACAATCTGAAAAATATTATAAATATTTAGACAAATATTTATTAATATATTACCATTTCACCAGTAGAGGTACCTAAAACTTAAACAAGGCAGGTATATATTATGAAAAATGTATATAAACTCAATGTAACGTTGACAAATGAATGTTTCAATTAATCATGCTTGTTATGTTTGACATGCTTGTCAGTTCTGCTGATTATAGAGAAAATGCTGAATGACAAAGCACTACAAGTCATAATCTGCTGAATTTGACTGTCTTTCTTGCCCTTTTGCTCTGTAATCAGGCAGTTGTGAGAAGCATTGGGATTTCAGTGTTGGGTTAGAATATTTGCAATGATCTTAAAAGCAGTGGAGGAAAAAGAACAGTTAACAATGACCTTGGTTAGAACCAAAGTTGAACTAATTAAAGAAAGTAGTATAAAAGGTATATATTTGAAATACCTGCAAAATAGTTGAATATTTGTCATTGCATGTGGTTTGTCTAGTCACCTGTAGCGTGCCTCCTCAGAAATATCTGGTGATTTAGGTTTTCTCAGGTGGAATCAATGGTCTGGAAGGTTCTGAAATGGGCAAAGGGTTAGCGAAGCGTAAAACAGGCTCTATACATACAACGTATAGCAATGTTTTTGCCTCAAGCCAGTCCTCGTACAGTATGTCTAAGCACTCCAGATTCAACAGATGCAGCTTTCTACAAAGGGTAAAGAGAGCAGGGCACAGCAAGACTTCAGAAGCAAAGCTGTAAGTGAATTCAAACAGGATGAGATTCTAGTACATCTCCTGAATCTTCCAGGAGCTGTCTGTGTTATTTTCGCAAAATATGTAGATGTGTTGGAGCATTTGATTGGCATTGTTCTTGGAAAATAGAACAGATGGAACTGATTTTGCGAGCTGCGCATGTAAGAGTAAGACAGAATGTGGGCACAGCATCTGCAACGTATACTGTAGGAACAAGGTTACAGTGGCAGCATAACAATGTTCAGCGCATGTATTGTGAACTCAAACAGTCACACAAGCATTTGCAACAGTCTTATTGATGCTTTCCTGTGTTCATTGGCAGCACTGTCAAATGAGCTGCAATAACATTTTAATTAGCATTATGAGAACTGACAATACCGAAGCCTTATTTCCACGATAACTTGTCTGTTTTTTTCTGGTGAATCACGTATATTTGATAAACCGGTGCATTACTAGAACTTAGTAAAGCTGTTGGTTTTGATTAATGTTTGCATATGTTCACTCAATACAGTTACTCTGGAGTGGTGCTTTCTTTGAGTAGGTTATATAGGCACATAACATGTCAAAGCAGCCCTGAATTAGCTCTGGGCTGTGAAGTGGAATTAGCCAAGCCTAACATCTGTCTGAAACTGAAGATCTAGCTCTAGCAGTGGGAAATCAGTACCAGAAAGGTACTGAAAAGGTAGAAGGAAAGAAGAATGAAAATCTGCTCTTTCCCAAGGGTGCTCTCAGTATGATTTTTTTTTTCTTTTTCAAATTTTGCAACACTTAATCTCTGCTTTGAAAGAAATACAGAATGATTTTGCCATGAGACGTTGGTACTATTCAAATAGACCGGCAGGCCAACACGACCCACAGTGAAAAGATCTGCAATCTAAATCATCTTACAACTTACTTTGTACGTGATGTTGATGCTAATCAAGCTGAGCGGGCCTGTAGACTTATGCCGCCTTGATATGAGAGAGCATGAAACCCAGCCGGCACAAGGAAAGAAATGCTTTGAATCATGACAGCGGATGATTGGATAATTTGCACAAACAATGGGCAGTCGTGTAATTCTCTGCTTGAATCTTACACAGAGACTTGGGTATGCAAAATCCTGGCCTTAGTGACATTGGAATCTCTTCACTTAAATGTGAGACAAATGGACTGACAGCTGAAAACAGGAGAGCATAATATATGACCTAATGTCCTCTCACTGAAGCTAGGTAAGGCTGAACTTAGGGAAGTCAAGTTAGAATTCATGTTTGAGCTAATAGCTGTCATTCCTTTATAAGTTTACAAATAACAGTGAGACTGTTTCCCAAGAAATGTTTTATTTATTGTTTTCTCAGCTGTTATTCCCTTCAGTACCATAAGCTATTATAGTTAAAGTAATGACTTGTGGCTTTTCTCTTGCAGGTTCAGATATACCTGTACAACCCAGATGACTTTGACAGCCTCAACACGGCTATAAGGGAGCGGCGTGTGATCGCAGCCATGGCGGCCTTCTTCCAGGTAAGCCTGTTGATTTGACATTGTGTCTTTTGGTCTTCGAGAAAGGTGACGTTACATGCCGCTTGGAGGGTACTCTGTAAACAGTGTGCAGAAGTCATTATTGGCTACGTTCAGCTAGATAAGGAGTGTTGGTGAGGAAGAAATGAAAGGTAGAGGCACGGAGTGTGAGAGTGTGTGCTTGTGAGTGCCTGTGCATGCGTTACATTTGACCGGGCAGGCAGGAGTAGAAAGAGAGGTGCTGGATGGAATTCTCTTCTTTCAAGATACTTTATACATGCAGAATAAATAGGCCTGGAGGCATCTGAGTGCAGGAAAATGAGCGGCTGTTTCCACCTTTTTTTTTTTTTTTTTTGAGACCTGTCTTTGTGCCTCGTTGGAAAGCGTTGTGTCTCCCAGTCCACCGTGGGGAATTCAGCATTTTGTAGTGCCTTCTGTGATAGCGTTGTGTCAGAAAATAACCAGCTGACACGTTTTCCTCTGTGTGATCATGTTTCTGACAGGTGCTTGATGATGCATTTAATGTTTTTATATCGTTCATTAATTATATATTTTTTTATTTTTTGTTGACGGCATGGTGATTTTCATCTCCCCTCATATGCTAGTGTCGTATGATTCACTTTGTCAAATGCTAAATCTTTTCTCACAAGCAAAACAGCAAGGCGATTGAAAGCGAACAGAGACATTATGTGTTCTAGTTTGATGTCAGGTGTTGGTATGGGGCTCTGTCAGTATTATCAATGGTAAATATATAGCCGCAATAAACAGGTGCTGGAATATTAAAACACTGGGAGAAAAAAATACCTTTTTAGCAAATAGAAACACAAAAGATAGCAGTTTTATCGATATAATTTTTTCTACTGTTGTAGCAAGCAAGAGCAGAGCTGGATGTCAGTGAACAACGACAGACCCACCTGGATTTATTTATTTAACGGCAGTGATCAGGATGCTGGACTGGGGTGTTTATTGTTACTGTGCTTATTTCTGTTTATTGTGGTGATGTCGTAAACATAAAAAAATGTGCATAAAACCCTAGCTATGACTAATTATAGTTAAAAGTGCCCTAACTAGTCCTGGAATGAAAAGTTTTTCACTTACATATTACATAACAGTATGAGATATGGAGTAGTATAATATTAACTGCAAACATGAAATCCTTATCATTTCGGACTTTGGGTTTCACTAATTAAATTATTTAGCAGTTATAATGCTTTTGTCAGTAATACCCAAAAATAGTCCCCTCCACACGTCTTCCTGAGTGTAGGTTTAGGCCAGCAGGAGGCGCTCTTTGGCCCTGATTCGTTCCGCCTTGGAGCTGGTCTCAAATATTCACGCTTTGTCACACTTCTACAATGGCAATGGCTCGATGTTGGCTTCACAATAATAAAAAAAGGACTTAAGAGGCTCTTTGGAAAAGACAGTGAAGTAAATGCCGATTAGTCAAGCATGTTTATCACGTAGCTTCTAATTAAGAACAACCAAGCAAATGTGGTCAAAAAGGATTACAGTTAACAAACCCCTGAAAGAGCTTTGTCTGTTTTCTTCGTTTTATTATTTTGAATTGTGATTTTATGAATGCAAACTTGGCAATATTAATCCAGTAAACCCTGCCTAAATCCAGATTTATGCTTTAAATGTGTGTGGCACTTAGATTTTGTAAATCAGGCTCAGTACTTTAAGCTTGGCATTGTTCTGACTCTGTGTACCGCTGTATGCTTTTAGTCACCCAGTACAATTTCATGTAGAAGTTGTAATCTTAGCAGTATGGTGGCTGGGGCACTGGGTAATGACAGATAGGTTTTTGTCTTATTTCCTAGTGAGTGTGGTTTTGAATGCAGGCTTCAGCTCTGTTTGTTTGGAGTTTGTACTCTTTTCTCATATTTCTGTGGGTGAATTAACCAACTTGAATTATCTGGCTTTCACTGTAATAGGAAATTCAAAGAATACTTCAGAAAAGCAGTAATTTTTATCTGTCTTATTCAATTATGACATAAATCAAGAATCAAGATAGATGATACTTGATCCATCACATGTACTCACAAAACATGATTATTCGATCAAACGATACAAAGTGGCTTCGAGTGTATGCTCCCTTTCGTGTGCTTGGTTGTGCATTATAGAAACTATATTATTGTACTCCTCTTTCTGTACATTTGTTGTGTACCGGTATGAACAGTTCCATTCACAGTTTCTTTCCTGCTTGTGTGTAGACACACACACACACGTTTGTAATTATATTTTTGTGGGGACTCTCCATTCACTTCTATGGGGAAAACACTAATCACAACATGACGAACTTAACCCCTACCCAGCCCTAACCTTAACCATAAGAAACCAAAAAACAAGTTTTTATTACATTGTGGGGGACATTTGGTCTCCACAATGTAATATAAACCTAATCCACACACACATACACACACATAGATATCTGTCTGATTCACAGGGGATTTGCTCTCAGTGCTTCTGGCTTTCATGGACTGGCTCTTGGACTTGAAGGCAGTATATCCTCAGGGAGCTATTATTGATAAGAAAAAAAAACAGTGAATAAAGAACTGGGCCATTTCTCTGGTTACTGATCCTCAGTTATCTAATCTTCTTTATTTCAGAAAAACAATTTAAACAAGCCAACATCTTTTTATAGGCCAGTGTTTTTTATAGTCTTTTTGTGGATTAGCAGAACTGACATGTACATATTACGTTAAGCTTCCCTCTGTGATTGGAAATGTGTATTTCTTAGTCAGCGCTTATGCTTTCTATTATAGTTTTATTAGTTTTTTGTGTATTATTTATTATAGTTCTCAAAAGTGTTAATTTCTCAGACAATTGCATATTGTTTAACTGATATCTACTATAATTTTCATTGTGCACTGATTAGTGTGAAGTAACATTTTATACTGTCTTAATTATTTTTTTCTTTTTTACTGTATGGGTTGCATATTTTTTTTTTTGTTTTCATAAAATGAGAACACAGGTGTTACTTTTGTACGGATACTACCCAGCAAGAATGGAAAACTGTAATGCATAAACCTTAATGGCTTCCCCCTGAATACTGACAGCCCTATCGTTTACCACAATTACCCACCCGCTGTGCGCATGCTAACCCGCACTTTAAGGATCTATATTATTTAGAGGGCCATGCTACACCCGTACTTATCAGCTTTAATCCATTGGAGCTTCCGAATTCCCAGGGATGCTGTGTGCTTATCACCCAGACACGTGTGCAGCACCCGCAGTCAAACAGAAGCTGGGCTTTTGTGTCCTGTTCATCTCATATTTGTCTCGGCATATTCAGGGGACTGATGTGCAGTGACAGCTGGTGTGTCGTCAGATGGAAACAGAGCCCAGTGATCACTAGGAAACTTGGTTGCAGCAGGTGGGCTGTGGAAGACAAACATTGATAATGAGGCAGTTAGTCCCCAGTCACACGTTGGCTCTGGTGGAGGCTTTCATGGACTAGACCAAGTTGGCGCTCTGCTGTTAAAATGAGCGTCTCTTTTCTTGTCTTGTTGATGCGATCCAGTCTTTCTTTATATAGAGATAATACAGTGCACAGTTGTCCACCACTAACAGCCCTGTGCATTTTAGAAAACACTGTGTATTTTCAGAAATATATACACAATATCTCGTCCTTACCAGGCTAAAGCAACAGTTTAGCTGGAGCCTCATCTGCAATCGCCACGCCAAAAATATCAGCATGACCAGAAACATTTGAGCGCTTTGTGAGATTGTGTTAATTTCCCACGTGTGAGGTATAGCATCACATAGGGCATCCAAGCCCTCCTACCCATGACAACTTATAGCAGAGAAATGCTGCCTTTTTCCTCTAGTTATAATACTCTTCTTCAATACTCTGTACCCTCTGGCAGTATTATTACTTTTGAAAGTATTTAACCCACAGTGTTCTTTACTTTTTATAGATATTTATAGACAGCCTTGCTGTCATTGTATGTTCGCTGAAACATTTCTGCTGCTTTGTCACTGACATCAGATGTTTAAGAAAACTTATGTATAAAGAAACACTGTTATGAGTTATAACAGACATGGCCAAAAGTACTTGTGTCCTTGCACTTTATTCAAATAATGCACCATTCTTCCTAAAAAATTTTTGGTAGGCAGCAAAACAAAACAAACCGTGGAACAAAAAAGCTCTGAAAGGAATTTAATTCTTGCTTCTTCTACAAAGACATTCTAAAATGACTTGGACAATATTACTGATAGCCTTCAGAAGTTATAAGAAATAATTGTATTTTAGTGATACTTCAAGCGGAATATTCTCTCTTAATTAGCATCACAGCTGTCTTCAATGATAGAATCACTCATTTAACCAGTTTAAATGGAGAATCATATTCGGCTGTTTTGTGTTGCAGTGTGTAACACACTAAAAATGTAAAATTTAATGGAAAATCAGAAAGAAGGTAATAGCCGGTAATGGTCAATACAGAGGCTACAAGAGCTTAAAAGAGATTTAATATTCCTGTGACCATTGTCAATAAGATCAAGAAGTTTAATGCCCATGGGATTGTAGCCAATAGGGAAAACTGTCCAAGGATTGAAGAGTAAGTTTGGTGGAGAAAGAACCAACAAAATTTCAAGATAGATCCAGGTTGAACTTTAGTCTTCAAGATGTAATAGTTTCATGAGTCACCAACCACTGCAGGCCTAACTGGAATATGCCAAAATGCATGCTGGCTAGCCACAATCCTTCTGGGAGAATGTCATTTGGCACTGGGTGCCTTGAATCTATTCAGGTGGCAGTGAAAACAGAAGATTCGCAGGTTATAGGTCCTCCCACAGGATAATGACCTGAAAAATGCCTCAAGAAGCATCCAGTAAAGCATGAGAAGAGACCATTGGGTTACTCTGAAGTGGCCTGTTATGAGTCTTGATCTAAGTCTCACTGAACATCTGCAGAAGCAGAACCTGCAATGGGGAGCATTAATGTTGAGAGAACTGATGCAGTCGGCTCAACAAGAGTGGGCCAAACTACCAGCCAAGACATATATAAATCTCACACAGTGCTACAGAAAACACTCTTTGTCCATGCTGGTTTCATTTATTTTATTTCAAATAACATGAGTCATCAATCTAAACCAAGGTTTCTGTTTTATTAAATGTGAACTAAAGAATGGTGGATACTGCATATGTTTGTCATTTTGCTTTGCTAGTTTTTTTTTTTTTTAAGTGGAAGGCAACCAATACTTTTGGCTGAATTTGTACAGGTTATTACTGCTAATGTGTCACTTTTCATTCACCTGCAGATTGGATTGACGGACAATCCAGCGATGGATCCCATCATCCAGGGGCTGAAGGGTGTGGTTCATCATGGTGAGTGGACACTGTTGGCAAATTTATTCATATTATTGTATTTTCTTCTGAAGTATATTATATTTATCTTCAGTTCATAATTTGTGTTTTGCTTGTAAAGTAGCCCCTTTGAATGTGAAAATTCACAAATAATATCTAGGCACCCCTAACCCATTCCGATATCTATCTGCTAGCCTAAACGATAACATAACAAGTCTATTTATTACCAATTTCTAAACAAACAGTACTGTACTGAACAATTGCATGTCAAATATCTTTGTTGTTTCCTATCTAGACCTTTTTATATAAAACAATCCATCTAAATCTTGCCCCTGTGTGTATAAAGTAATCACAGTACTGCATGCACTGGGAGCACTACGTTTTGGACTCATTATTAAAAATGCAAAATTACCACAAGTTCAATAGTTACTGTGAGAGATACAAGATTCCATGATCACAAAGCCAAATCACACGTGAGTGAGGCTGGTGACACAGACAAAGATGTACGGCGTACCCAAGATTTTTGATATTAAAGATGTAGTATGTACTCACACTAAGAAATATTATGTATCTCTAATACTTTTTTGATTTTATGTGATCTGAATCATTTTCAGTACTGTTTTTGGCTCGTGTGTCGTCTGCTAGTTTCTGCAATGTTTCAGCCAACTCTAAAAACGTTCCTATATAATTGTTCACGGCCAAGTCGCGAATAATTGAAACCGTGAATGTCAAGTTCGCAAAAATGAAGGGGGTAATTAGGGAGGGAGGAAGACGTGTGCTTCGCAAATTATAAAGCTAAGAATTTTACTCTTTTCCCACTTGACGGAATACAGTAGATATCTTCCAAAGCGATGTTGTTATGGTACTTTTCCACAGTGCCACATCAATTGCAAAGCTTCAGTGTTCTTTGCACAAGCCCATATCTATAACTGCTCTGCATTCAATATCAGTCATTTGGAAATCACTTCCCTGCAAGCATTTGGTCTGTAGTGAAGTGTCTCCATCTTCAATAAATGTTTAGATATAGAGGTGTCTGAGATGTCTGTGTTTCCATTAGAGAAGACAGTAGACTATGGGGAAATTCATGCAGGACATCCATTACACACAGCCATACACTGTGTGCTCTGATTTGATGGTAAACTTGCTCTTGAGTAAATCTTACACGAACCATTAGCTACTTTCATATTGATGTTAATGCATCGCCTTTCCTACATTGTGCTATACCACAAAATGTCCATACTGTTCCATAAAAATATGCTTATATTATTATTATTATTATTGTTGTTGTTATTATTATTTATTATTGTGGTAGTAGTTATAGTATTAGTAACTGTGGTGTTGCACCTGGCATGAACACACATTCTTATCCTGGCTTCACAGGTGCTTCATCAGTGATGGTGGTCTGAGTTTACAATTAAAGTCTGGAAAATTAATGAATGCCTTCGTCCCTATTCATAAAAGGATATTGCATTGGACTAATTAAGCAATGTCTGTAATATTTTATTCAGTCTCAGCTTTACTGAGGGAGTGTTTTATAATTATGTTTTAATTAATGACAGCTGCATTATATAATAATATTTAACGTAATAATTTTTAGAGGTTTTTAAATGTAATGTTTAAGTTGTATATTCGGGAATACACTGAACATGCGTAACGCAAGGGCTAATTGCGGCACTCATTTCTCCATGTTTGTGACTCATTAATGCAGTAGCTTGGGCACACTGGAAAATGCTCTGGTAGAATGATGCATGTTGCCAGATTCACTTTCGTTTGACAGAAACGGGAAGCAGAACCGCAGCGCTGGCCTTGTGCAACATGAGATGGTGATTGTAGTCATTAGAGCACAGGGAAGCCACATATGGTTGAGCGCTTTCAATCACGGGATTGACATTAGTGAGATGGAAGCGTAGCCATGTCCTGGCTAAATGACGAGGGCAGTGCTCTCGTCACATTATGCAGATGTCGTGCTATTGCTCCCTTGGGTTGGTTCCCCTGCTCCCTTGAGCTTTTCCCAGCATTACCTGACCCAGTGACCTAGTTTGATTAAAAGTTGAACTAGCTGAAAGTGCGACTAGAAAAAATTCAGAACTCACTTCACAACGCTGTACAGGCCATCAGTCCGAAGAGAGGGGCTTCTCTGTCTTTACTGTATTAACTGTTGAAACATCGCAATTCCCATTACAGGAATAATAAAGTACCTGCTTAGCCATCTTGTTTCCAATGTGCTTTAAAACTTCAAACTTTTTTATGGCTTACACTGAATTTCTAGGTTAAATTATGAATTTTGAAACTATGCCAGTGGCAGTGCAAAGCTGTAGGGAATTTTAAAAATATATACACACAGCCAAAACTTTATTGATACAGTAAGTGCTAACAATAGCAAATGTATTTGTCTTTTAACAAATATTTCCTGCATTTTCAAATTCAAAATTAAGTCATTTTAAAGTTAAAACATTTATAATGACAGTTATTTATTACATATGAAGCAAATGAAGTTTCACAGGTAAGTTGCGTAATATTAACTATGTACCTGCCTCCCAATGATTTCTATTAAGATATTTATGTTTTTCTCTCTCAAATACTGCTTCAGGTGAATGAGGTTGTTCATATTTCTAAACTGTTTCTTTAAACAGTGCCCCCAGCACCTTTTGGTGGGCCTAAACAGAAGGAGCAGTTGCCCTTAGTGTTTTTTTCATTTTTTGGTTTGACTTTATTGCCATGGGGCATGATTGCTTTCATGGGAAGGAGACATACAAAGGAACCTGGGTAAACAGTAGGTGATGATAACTATTTTACTGTGAGGCCAGATGCTGTAGACCAGGAGTGTCTGGAGAAATTTCACATTTGACCTGCCAAGAGGGTGATAGGCAGACTGGTTCCCCTTATGTCTGATGAAGACAAGCCACACAGTGACCAAAGCGCAGGATGAGTGTCACTCTACTCATGCTTGTAGCACTGTTTTGATTATCCTGTGACGGGGTTCGAGCTGACAGACAGAATGATCCTATGCAGTGAAATCACTTAGAACATGGGACATCTGTTACAAGGAAGCCAAGAGTTAATTTGCTTAATCCAGCTACACCATCGGAATTCTAAATTATTTGGATGGACTTCATGAAAAACTCTACTCTTTGGTCACAGTATGGTCAATACAGAATTGTTATGCAAAAAATACTCTCTTCACAAAATGCAATACCCTAGTATTTATTAAATCAAGGATCGTGTTTGTGGTTTCTCTGAGTTGGCTGCAATACTGACAGAGAGCTTTATATTTGTACGGGGGATTTTGGATGCCCTGTAAATTTATTGCAATACCTGTAATGCTATTTGACTTAAGACAGAGATTCCTTGAATTAAATTACAGTAAATTTTCTCCTTCAGAGCACTTTCAAAACATTACCTTTAAGCAATAAAAGCTTAGAATGTATGGTCTAATACAATTCTAGAAGAAGTATCAGTTTTTATTACTTTTTTGTTTACTTGTTTGATCTGGAAGACTTTTTTTTTCTGGGAACATCCCCAAACACTAATATGTGATTCTACTCACTTTCCTCTCTGGATTCTCTTTCAGATTAATGTAGCAGATGCAGCAGGCACTGCTATGGTTAAAATATAGTCTAGTAGTGGTCTGATTCAGAGAGGATCAGCAATGTTTAAAAGAATGAAATGGCATATTGAACTAGCTTCTACAGCCAGGTCATTATAAGTAAAAGCCTCTGCTAAGTGCGAAATATTCCGGATTTACTTTTCCACGGCATGTAGCACTTGACCGACCCACTCTGGCCCACTTCATTTAGGGGCTGTTAGGTTACCGGTTTCCTGTTTACTGCATGAATGCCGAGTTTGAAGTTTCATGGCATGAACAAGTACTTAAGATAAAGTTGGCTTTGTGCACTTCGGTCTGTGTTTGTGGTGTGTGCGTGTTCCTGCCCCACACACATACTGTATACCAAGCATCCTCTCTTCTTTTCACACCAGAAAAAGAAACCCTTCTTGAGCCATTTGTTCTGAGAGACCTGCTTCCTCCCTCCTTGCGGAGTTACTACCGCTACACTGGCTCTCTCACTGTGCCACCATGCAGCAAGGTGGTGGAGTGGATCATCTTCAGCCGGCCTGTGTTCCTCTCCCAACGTCAGGTAAGCCTGGACCCACCGATTGCTTTTAACTGCATAGCTAACATTCCCCGACCCAGCGCTGCCTGACCAGAGCCCCCCCCCCCCCCCCAGCACTCTGACCTTTACTCCTCCTGCTTTCTGCTAAGCAAACATTTTTTCAAAATAAAATGACAGTAACCACAATGCGCTGGGCTCTCTGCAGGGCGAGGAGTGTGGGGAGGAAGTCTAATGTGAAATATTTGGTTTTCATGCAAACCTAAGTACTACCCTATTCTTAGCAAAAACCCTCCGCTTGAGAGCCACTGTGGCCAAACAGCAGGCCGTTTTGAAACTGCCAGAGCTCTTTGTGACGAGCTCGTCACTCAGCTGCATTGTTACCTGCTGCAAAAGTCTTATTTCAGTGGTGCTTGTGGTTGTTTCTGCAATATGCAGAACAGCATGCAGCTTGACACCTATAGTCTAATTGGTATTCGATTTTTACAGCTTATTTAGACTATTTCGTTCCCTAGATCAGGAGGTCAAATTTTAAGTTCAGCCATGTGTCAATTACTCCTGATGCCTTTAACCTTTAATTTTATCCTTTTTATAATGGGAAAATACAGGCAGAGTAAAAGAAAAAACTTAATTAGCCCAGGTTCAAACACTGCATATAGTCCCAGATACAACCCACACACCCCAAACTGTGTACTCAAATGGCCTGGTATTTGGGCAATATAATTAGTATAATTTAAAATATATTTCTTTTTAGTTTGATTCAGTTTTGTTTGGGCTTTGAAAAATAATGCTTTTTTTTCAATTTCAATCTGGTTTGGCAAATACGGAATGTCATATACTGACATTCACTGGATTTATTTTTGAATCATTTTAATCGAAATGTTTAACTCTGGCTGCATATTAAAATGTACTGAACACATTCACGCGGTGTCAGCACGAGTTATGCTGTTTTGTGTTCTGTGCCTTACTTGCGTGTCCGTAGGCGCAATGAATTATGGTCATTATAGTTATTTCGACATTTATTTCTGAGTGAACTGTATCATGTAATTATGTTATGAGAACTACAACTGAAAAAAGGTCTAGCACAATGATCAGCAAGGAAGAAGAAACAATGTTTTTCCAGTATCTGTGTGGGTTTCTTTTGGGTACTTCCCTTAGTCAAAAAACAGGTGGTTAGGAGAAATGCTGCCTCTGAAATTGCCCTTAGTGTGTGAATGTACCTTATTTCTCATGCCATTTTGAGGGTCCACTGCCTTGTGCTTAATTGGCTTCGACACCATGCTCTGCGTGATGGTTTAGTTTTACATTTATACATGTCAGTAGCCAAGGTGCATACAGAAAGACAAAAACATTGAATTTGTACAACTTGTTGAGTAATAATGATGACTGACACACAGAAAGGGGAGTGCATTCTGATGTAAGTACACCATATAAGGAAGTAGTGATTAAGGAAAGACGTGTCCATTTTTATGCATGTTTAGCTACTGGAAGATAGACTGCTGTTGTGCACTCAAGCTTATTATTCATACCCTGTGCTGCTCCAGTAAACATCCACAGTGTGTTTTCATGGGCGAGCAACATCTGCTGCAAACCTTGGGCAGTCCCAGTACCCTCATTTTACAGCAAGTACAAGAGAGCAGTGAATCATCAGTGAAAAAATTAAACCAAGCCAAAAAAACAAACTGTGGTGCTTACACTGTTTGGAGCAGCTTGAAAAAGGTATAATTTCTATATCAATACCACCAATCGACAACTGAATGCATGTGAATATGTATCGCTTTATTTTTGAGGGAAATAAGGTGCATTTTGGTGTCTCGATGGAAGAGAAAGTGTTTTTCTGCATTTCCTCTCCCTGTCATTTTTTTTTGTCCACAGCCCCCTTAAAATCTTTTGTTTTTAATCAGGTGGTGGGTTACTGAGAGTGACAGAGATACCTTTGTGTTGGCTTTTATAACATCTGGGCTGCAGTTCACCTCCTCACTCCCAGCTACGCAGCAGGTGTTTTAAACACTCCTTGCTGTCAATCACCCAACATCATGGCGAATGTGTCTTGTTAACCACAGTAATCCAGTTCAATCTAAGGTTTGTTTAGCACAGGGGTAGCCAGTCTTATCCAGAAAGGGCCATTGTGTATGTGGGTTTTCACTGTAAATCCCTAATTGGATTACTAATTATAAGACTGGCTGCTTGAAGAGTTTTCACACCTGGGTTTGAACAGCTGACGTAAAGGTTATCCCAGAAACCTGTACACACACCGGCCCTTTGCTGATAAGATTGCCCACCCCTGGTTTAGCATGAGCAGTAAATGAACAGCAAGTACTGTAATCTAATAGTACTATATTGCACTTAGAAAACAGGTTCTCATGTAGTACTACCCCAAAGCTGAAATATTTTTTTTGTCAGCCCTAGGATTACTCTACTCACATTTTCACATCACCACCCCCACACGTTTAGATTCTTAAAGTCGTGGGAGTCCCAAAGCGCAGATTCAGCCAGCTTGACTGCTTCCTGTCACGAGTTGTGAGACTTGAAAACAAAAGGGGTTTATTGAACTAAACAGGAGCAGGGAAACAAAACAAGACCCCAAGGGGTCAAAACAAGAAGGCGAATATGGGGAAGGACACGAGCAGGCAGGGGGAGTGATGTCAATGACCGGACTGGGACTGATGAGAAAAACAGGTGCTGAAATACAAAGGCTAACAAGGGGTAACAAGTAACAGGCGCGGCTCATTAGGGCCACATTAGGGAAGAGTAAGGAGGGTCTGGTGGGCTTGACGGGCAGGACGTAAAACTTCCTTCACTATTCACTGTGACACCAGCCAGAACCTGCTGATAAAAGTGGCAAATTCTAAATCACACGTGACAAGCGACGTATATGAGGAGCGTAAACCACCTGTCAGTAGAGCAGTGTGATACTGAAAAAAAAAATCACATCATGATAGTGGAAAATTTTGTAATTAATATAATTAAAACAAAATGGAGCTGAAATTTACACAAAATAAATAATAGCCAAATAGAACTGGTTATTATCTAGTAATAAAGTCTGTCAAATAAGTTGGTGATGTTGCCATGAGTTCTGCCAATAGACCGTACAGCAATGCCAGATAATCATTTGCCTTTGCTCAATTTCATTTTCATGGAATCCAGAATATTTCTTTGTATAGTGGAAGGCGAATGACTTTTGGCAACCAGTTCTTTTTTGCTTTTCTCCTCCTCGTTCCATTTTGTTAAAATTCTCACAAATGCACCACACTGTCTATGAGTGGTAGAAATGTCTGTGAGTAAATATATTCTTGATAATCTTGAAAAGGTGCCATCATTAATATTGCAATACTTGCTAAGTTTTACTTTCTATGACAGAGTTCAAATGTTTTAGCGAAACTTAATGTCTTAACCCAACTGAGCACTGCAGTCCTTGCAGTGTGACAGTTACATGGATTGTTGATATTAATAGTGCATGTTGTGCAGCTCTACCTGCCTGTCCTCCACCTGATAGTTAGCCCCTGTGGTGCCCTCCCCCCACTTTCCACCAACCCACAAAGCATTATTCTGCTACTGTAGCATATTATATATTGCCATTCACACCCAGCTATGCTGCTGTTGTTTTAAGCCCTTGGGGGGGGGGGGGGTAACTGGCATTAACAGAGGGGCAGGGGGCACATCCTTACCAGTTCACAATAAGCCATTACCTTGGCTCTAGCTTTGAAAGCGCCGCAAGCTGTAGGCAGGCGCATGGTCATCATCTGAGAACCACTTAAGAGCGGCAGGACCTGGGACTGGAGATAAATTGATGCTGACTAAAATTTACACTATAACACAGTTAAATCAAAGGTATAGATGCATGTGCAGTAACTATATGAGCTGCCCGCAAAGCAGGTTATGGCAATAGGAATCTAAAACATGAGTATTTGAACACCGAGCTTGATTGCTATATCTTGTTGTATTAGAATCATCCTGCTTATAAATGACCTTTCTAGCACATAGCCATGATACAGGGAAAACAAACAAAGTCATGTTGTCCAGTTCAGCACATTTATCTTGTGGTTAGACCATAACTGGTAATGATTTGATCAGAAAAGCTTGTCAGAAATGCATTTTCCCAGGCAATGCTTTTGGCATACCCTTTTTATGTGGTATATTGGTTTATATACAGTATTTTGCAGTGTATAATCATTAATCCATTTTAAACCACGCTGGATTCAAAACTCCTCTGACTTAGTCACCCAGACATACAAAAATACCTAATGGGGAAAAATAATGATGGTAACATTTTCTATGAATGCCATGTCTATAGCAGTCTATGAACAAATTCATAACACATTATGATACATTCATAAAGAATTATAAACATAGCTATAAATATTTATGAAAAGGCATAACACATTATAGCTATGTTTATTATGCATTATGAATGCTTTATGAAGCTCTCATCTATAATGAAGTGTAGAACCCTTCATAATGCAATACGAAGCATCCTTAATTCTTATACCTATATATTCTTATATCATTATCATGCATTATGAAGGGATCCATAGTGCATTACAGGTGAGAGCTTCATTGGAGCTTATGAAGTATTATAATCAACAGGAAGGTATCTGTAATTCATTATAGATGACAGCATCAAGTAAACTGTTACCTTAAAGACAAAGAAGTAACAAATGGTTTCAGTGAACTTCACTGTCTGTGGTTGGGGCAGTACAAGCAGAACATGTAATAAATATTGAGACAAGTATTGAAATATTGAGATCACAGGCTTGCCTACTTTGCAGCTGATGGTTTTAAGTGTGACTTTCCCACAGTTTTTTTTTGACTGTCTCAAGACAGCTCAAGGCAAACTTGTTTTTGCATTTGTACCAACTAGTGATGTAAAATTTGTGTTTTTGTATGTCAAATCGTGTAATTCTCTCTCTCTTTATGGGGAATGAATATTTTTGTTTTGTGATTTAGTTTTTTGATTTCAATAGGATGTCATGTACAGTATGTCAAGGTGCATAATGTTGAAATGCTTGTAGCCGTCCTTCCTGTGGACAATAGAATGTTATAATGGGTTCTGAGGGCCCAGGGCCCCATCCCTGGCTGCTGAAAGAGGGCGGCTGGCAGAGCAGCATCCTGTGGGGAGGCTATCGATGTTGGCATCAGGCCTTCCTGTTAATCTGGCTCCCTTCTGACGGAGCCGCTTTGTTCCTCTGTTGGCCTCCTCCCTTCTCAGCTGGACGCCTTCTATTCCATCTTCACCACCGAGCAGCAGGACCATGTGAAATCCGTGGAGTACCTAAGGAACAACTTCCGCCCGCTGCAGGACCTGGATGACCGGGTGGTCTTCAAGTCAGCGGTCAAAGATGCTTGGGTCCCGGACCTGTCAGATGCCAGGGAAAATCTGCATGGCACAGAGGCTTCCAAAGGTAGACAGGAATTTCACGCAGATTCTCATGCCTCTTCAAAGGAGCTCCATGTTCATTACAGTCACGCATGCTGTCTCATTCTTTCTGTGAGGCGATTAGACAAGCATGCAGAGAAAGAAATGCTGGACCATTTATTTTGAGAGTCTTAGTTTATAGCACTATTTGAACTTGCTTTTCTGATCTTCCCGAAGAAAAGTGCCGACATTTCACAGATTTCACAATTGCGTTCACACCTCTCAGCGCTTGTGTCCACGTGACTCTGGGAAGGGCTTTTCAGAAGGAGCTTCTCTGCCTGCTCCAGCTGTGTCATTCATGTGGCAACAGCAAGAAACCATAATGACCGGAGGGAGTCACTTCACACCTTCGCTCAGCACAACACAAATATAATAGGCCTGTATACACACGGCGTATTCAGTCACTCACAAATGAACGGCCTGCCATCACAGCAGCGCTCTGTCAGAGCAGAGAAAGCTTGTTTTGGTGAATGACAACAGCCAGTGTCACGGCAGCTCCCCGCCCTCTGTCTGCTTCCTCCCCTCTGAGACAAATAGCTCAACTTTGTTATTAACTGTAGGAAGATAAGTAGAAAAATGTAGCAGGCTTTGCTGTCGATACTCGGCTCGTTCATAGTCAAGTCATAACTGATGTTTTTCTAATATCTTTAGCACTTCATTGTTCATTTATTGGCTTCATTTCATAAAAGTAGCTCATTTCCAGCAATGTGCTTCAGGTTACCCTCTCAGCGATACTGTGAAATGCAGTTAAAGCCATGTAGTTCAGGTTGTTTTTTGTAACAGTCGACACATCAGTATCAGAACCAAATTAGCCATGTGAAAGTAACTTGCTAATCAAAACAGATGTGCTTCCGGGATTTCCTTCTTTCTTCAAATAATTATTCTTTTATCCATTTTGTCTCAGAAAATTGATTATGAGCTACTTGCATGCGCGACTCTCTTCCTGGCAAAACTGATGAAGTTAGAGCAGCCTAAATGAGCAAAGAGTTTATGATAATTCGCACAGCCTAAAAATAGGCTAATATGGATTTAATCTGTGGTGTGAAATTGCCTTTGTGGTGTTAAGACATGACTGATCAGAGAAGGAAACATGTCACAGAGTGGACATGGGGGGGGGGGGGGCGAGGCTTTGGTGGAGGCAGTGGTGTTTTGGAAGGAAGGGGCTGGTGTGTTAGGGGCATCTTAAGTAGTTTTCTTTAATTAATCACACGATTGGTGCCCATGTTTGATTTTTGGCCCCCATCTATGGAGTGAAACTGCTTTTTGTCAGCACTGAACTAGCATGTCATTTGTTAACAAAACCAGACGTGGTCCTGATTTATTCAGTACAGTCCCATGAGCTGCTCAATTTGAGTGATTTTAGCTCAGGATTATAGTCGAAGTGGCACCTGTGCAATAGAAAAGGCAAAGGCTCTGCAAACACGCATGGAATTCTGGGACATTTAAAAGATGCACGTCGTCTACGATTTGGGATTATCCTACTTATTTGTTTACGGAGACTCAGCAAACTCCACAGCTGCTTACTGCAGTGGTGTTCAAACTGTGGGTCACAACCTCCTCAGGGGGGGTCTCTAAATAATTGGGAGGGGTCGTGGAATTATGTTTTGGATATACAACAAAAACTATCATTAGCAATCTGTTAGCCAACCCAGACATAAACATAACACTTGGGAGAAGAGCAGAGGTTTCCACAGTAACTGTTGGGAATGACATTGAAAGTCACATACTTTGTTGATTGCCGTCACTTGGAAATGTCTAGCAGCATATTGTGTGCATGTAATAGTGTATATCACATTAATGAGCGTTTCTGAATCCTGACTGATATCTATTTCCCTACAATGACAATCAACATGAAGTCACTATTAAGGACATCGAAGTAGCAATGAAAACTAGGCAATAAAACTATTCTAACCATCTCTGTTAAAAAATAATAAGAAGAACTTAACAAAATATGCCACATATGGCTATGAAAATTAGAGGTTCCTTTTTCACTCGGTTGCTCTTCCCCTACTGTTCTCTGGTAATTGGAGCTTAGACACAATAATTGATGCACAAGGTCACACACTGTAATATATGAAGTCAAGAAATAAAGTGCCTAAGATTTTGTACAAAATAACAAGCCTGAACTTTGAAACAAATTTTCAAGTATGTACAGTACTATAACTCTATAGATAAAAATCTACATTCACTATATTTTCTCAAATGTAAAGAACAACAAAGAAAAGTGCCCCTATAATGGTATTTGAACAATATTCTCACTCTCTAAGATTGCAACTTTTTAAACAAAGTACATGAATAGTACCACTCACGGCCTAGTCTGCTTGTGTTTGCTAGGCAGTGAGGTCATTTTTTTTATCCATTTGTGAACTATTTCCATATATTTTTTAACATTTATTTTTAGGATGCTTTTATCCAAAGTGGCCAACAGTAGAGGAAGGGTGCTCTTTGGAATTTTTACCCACAACCTTTGTACTGTTAACACAATGATCTGTTTGTTGAGCTACCATAGACTGCCCCATGTTTCCTGGTTTAGGTACGGATTAGAATTATATTACAGTACTTAACAGACAGCTGTTTTTCACATTGTCCCACTGCTGTGAAAAGTTTTGTTGAGTCCATTGAGGCCTGTGGGGTTAGGGGGGCTGTTACAAAAAGTACCTCTTACTTCATCCTGGGTTTTGTGCATCAATCTTCTGCCAGTGACGGGGAGCCAGTGCTAAGCCAGGGTTTCATTATGCAGTGATTCCTCACAAGCTGGACAAGCCTCCCTAACCTCCTGGAATTTTTCTACTGCAAGGGTCAAGTATTTTTCATGTGGAGCCCCTCCCTATTCCACAAAGCTCTCTGCATCACTCATTTTACTGTTTCACTCCAGTCACTTCAGATCTACTGCCTCCTGCCCCCCCGTGTGCCACCCCTCCCGTCACCTCTGAGTCACCGAATCAGGGTATCCATCCATCTCGCCGCCGAGCTGCCTGAGCGGCCGGCAGGCTAGGAGGAGAGGGGTTCTTGTGGGGCATACTGTCTGGGGTAACATCTGTGCTGGGCTTTGTACCAGCTGCTGTCTCTGCCACACACACACACACACACACACACACAAAACACTGTGCATTCTGCTGTTCAAGGACCAACCAGCCACTGCACCCCCTTAGCAACCCATGGCACATGGCACATGGGGAGGGCATTGATCAAAACAAATTGGAGTAGGGACTTCTGACCAGCAGATGTAAGACTTAGAATTCTTGGTACTGTTTTCTTTCCCCCCTATTTAACCATTTAACCTTTTAATTGGGCAGTCCTTAAAAAGCAAGTAATGGAAGTCACCCTGGATAAAAGATTAGGTAATTATGCATGTAAGTCTAGGAAACATTCTTTAATCGCTAATGTTCAGCAGCTGAGCAGAACGAAGCCATATTGGTCTGAGGAGGGGACAGAGAGGATGCCTGCCCGACTTGTATGATTATGTCAGATCCAGGAATCCACAGTTTTACCCAATTTCCTGACAGGGTCAGTGATTAAGCACTATTCACTCTGGAGATCATGGGAGCCTGGCTACTGACATCATTTGGGAAGACATGATGTAATATCAGCAGGAGGTTCAGTCCCACGTTTGGGTCTGCAGTGTCACCTGGTGGCTGAGTGTCATAGCACAAGCACTGAAATAATAATTTAAAAATATGACAGTAAATAACTACAACCCAGCCCTACCCCTAACCATAAGTATCCAAATTGAATACGATACTTTTGGCATTTGTAGTTTTTTGATTGCATTCACAGATCTTTGTGGGAACCTGAAAAATGGTCAGGTTTTTATCAGATTGTGGGGGACACGCGCACATACAAGCACACACACACACACGCGCACACATACAAGCACACGCACGCGCACACACACACACGCGCACACACACACAAGCACATACACACACACACACACGCACATACAAGCACACGCACACACACGCGCACACATACAAGCACACGCACACACACACACGCACACACCATATTAGCACAGACATGGTGCTGGCCTTTGGCAGCTTCGGGGTAAAAATAACACAATGAAACTCTCTACCTGACACTTGCAATTTTCAGGGGGCTATTACACCATTTTGGTCAGAAATTAGGATCAGAATGTTGGAGATGAACAATCAAGCCTTCCCAGAACAGCGGGACATCCGCATTAAAGCTAACCCACGCTGCACACACTGTAACAAAGTTTGCCTTTTTCTTGATTTGTTATGTGTTGTGTGGGTTTTCAGATTTCCTCTGTGCTCTCTGAGCGGTTCTTTGTTGGCTCATTTGCCTCTAATTTCCTGGTTTGTCTTCTGTCGCTTCTGTCACACAGTGTGCAGTAGCCCCCCTGTCAACATGAAGGTCCAGCCCCTGAATAGAACAGCCCTGGTTGTGAGCTGGACCCGACCTCAGATCGTCTACCACCCCCCTATCATCAGCTTCATGATCTCTTACAGTTCGTCCAAGAATGAAGAGTCGTACGAGATCACCAAGGATAGCCACCAGGAACTGGTGAGACCTCCCCTGGGCCTTGTAACTCATCCTGAGAGGTGTCCCCTCTCCAGGGTGTGAGAAGCACAACCCAGGATGCTAGAAGATGTGAAATCAACTGCATCACTACTGTCACTTTGTGTCGAATGCTCACTGCAGTTCCTTTCTAGGGTTTAAATGTGGGTGGTTTAAATGAGTCCATCCACAGAGGCACATGGACCTGAAGTTTACAAGAGCATTCACAGCAACCACAGTACAGACTTTTAATCCTCAAGCTATTTCAGACATAGCTCGTGTTCATCAATCAGAACAGTGATTTAATAGGAGAGACTTTCCCTCAAACAGACGAGGTTCCTTGGCTCTCAGTTTATTAAACAGAGGCGCAGAAGCTGATGAAGTAACTAAACCAAGCCCTCCGAAAAATAAAATGCCTTCCCAGGCACCTGCTGACTCTCTTGAACAACAGATATACAGAATCAGCCATTGAAACGTATCTCCCTGTTTACTACATGAATAAGTTCTCTTTCTCTCACACTCCCTCCCTCTCTCTTCTCTTTCCTTTTCTCTCTCCATTTCTTCTTCTCGTTTCCTTTACACCTCATTTCCATTTTTATTTTCAATTTCCTGCCCAGACATTGTTATCTAGGTCACATTAGGGACTGGCAGGCTTTGCACAATCAGAGTTGAATCAATTTTTTACCCCCTTAAGACCTCCATATTTTATGGTCTCTCGCTTGTAATAACCAGCCATTTTTGAAACGATCGTTAACAGAATAAAAACTGTTCTGCTCTTGCATAAATCAGAAAGGAATACAAAGGCAGCAAATAAACTGCAATAATTTAGCATGAGATATACTTTTGCTGTGGTATCTACCAATCAGCTAGCTCTCAGTAATTCCAAATGATGATTCCATAATGAGAGCATCTGCCCTGTTTATGTGTTTAATTCCCACCTAAGTGTGGTCCGAAGTGTCTTTCAGTTCCGAAAGCCGGACAAAGCACGGGATCTGGTTTCAGGCATCTTCTATGGGCCATGTGAGCATGTTTTTCAGATGGGAACATTCAGGATTTTTCTGGATTCCAGCTCCATTATCTGTCACTCTTTTCATTCCTTTATTCATGCTTCATCCTTTTGTGTCATACCCAACTGACACAAAACGCTCTAATTAAAATGTCACTGGTGATACGTGTGTGACTAATACATTCACCCATGTCCGTTTGTTATGGGTGAATCTATTAGTAGACTGTGTGTTAAACAGTAGCACACTAAGGACTGTCAGTCAATTGCAGGTTTTATCATGCTGTTTCATAATCATGTGTGCCATGTGTGGACAATTCAGGGTAGCGGGATGATAATTCTCTTTGAATAATACATACGGAAAGGAAACATCCTAGACAAGAAGGTATGTGACACACGTGCGGGTTGTTTGTTACGTCATACCTCATGCTCGTGGTCATGGCCGCCCGTGACGGACGGGTAGAATATGGTGCCACAGGGCGGACCCCACGGACAACGGCGCCTCAGCATCTGGCTCTAGTGCCTCGACGTGTCAGCGCGTTCGCAGGCTCGGGGAAGGTAGAGCGTTTTAAAGCGCATGGTGTCTGTCTGTAGAGCAGAATGGCTGACAGCTGTGGCCACGTTGCTCCATCCCAGGTGTCTCCTGTCCACAGGCTGCTGGGAGAAGCCATTAAAGCCCTGACATCAAAGTGCCACCTGTAGCAGAGTCTGTCATCTTTTGTCACTTGTGTAAAAACAAGCTTGTGTGGGGAGAGGCAGGGCTGCCCTGTCAGTGTAGAGCTCATCAATCAAATTCACACCCCTAGTGTGACTTTAAGTACCAAGCACCAGCTTACTGGTGATAAGAGTCGATCTGCGTGGTTGTGTTTTTATGAGTGTACTTGTTTATGTGTTTTTGTGTCTCATTTGTGTGTTTCTCCTACAGGAGGCCATCATCACACATGTGAATCCTGACAACCTGTACCTCTTTAGGGTGCAGGCTGTGTGTCAGAAGGATCTACGCAGTGATTTCAGCCAGTCCATAGTATTTAGGGGTGAGCCTCAAATGAAGTCTGTTCCTGAATGTTGTCTAATCATTTATCAGCACATGTATTCCTTTTTATGTTTTATTTTTTTGTTATTCTTATTATTTAAATGATGGTTATAAACCTCTTATTCTGGAAGCCATATGGACGTTTTTTGCTATATCAGGAATGTTTGGGAATCGCTGATAAAAACTAATTTGCCTCATTTTGTGTTTTGATCCATTTTAATCACTATTTATATGAGTGATATTGCTGATGTTAGAGATTATATTCTGCATTGTACGTAACAATATCAAGATTGTGTAACCTGAACTGCAGCTACCTTGGGTTTGTGTCCATGAGAATATTTTTTCTCTATGCTGTGATTATGATGCAGGTTTTTTTTTTTTTTAAATATAACAATGTATATAATCTTGTACTGTTTTAGCGAACACTACCAGGATTTTTGAGGGAACCAGAATAGTGAAAACCGGGATGGTATGTATGTGAACCCGCCACCCAGCAAAGAATGTAAGACTATGTGCAGCAGATGGGGTCCTTGTAATGTGAATATACATTGTCATACGTGATACCTTGAATGTGACTTTTTGCACACTTTTATAGTTTACACATCTCTACAATTTTCTCCTGTACATCTCTACATTCCTCAGCCAACAGCTTCAGCCTCCTCTGCCGATATGGCTCCCATTAGCTCCGGCTCCTCAACTTGGACCTCATCCGGTCTGCCCTTTTCCTTTGTCTCTATGGCAACCGGGATTGGGCCATCCTCTAGTGGCAGTCAGGCCACGGTGGCGTCTGTGGTGACCAGCACTCTGCTGGCGGGATTGGGATTCAGCGGCGGAGTCATCACATCCTTCCCCAGTTCCATGTGGCCCACACGGGCCCCTCCCTCAGCAGCCAGCCCCACTCGCCAAATGACCAAGCTTGCAGTGCCCACCCCGGAGCCAGCGGCATCCCAGAGTTCTGATTCGGACACTATGACAGATGCTGAGGGGGTTCAAAAGGGCGAGAAGGCTAGAAAGGGTCAAAGAGAGGAGGGAGAAAAAGAGGGAGAGGAGGAAAAAGATGAAAAAGAAGATGATGACAAAACAAAGAAAGATAAGACAGCAGCTGTGGAAGGGGGTACTCTGGTCAACAGCACGGTGGCCGGACAACACACTACAACAGGCACTGCATCAACAGCTAAAGAGAGAACAGGGGAATCTGTAATTAAGGAGACAAAGACGGAATTCACAACAGCGCCATCTAATGTTGTGGAGGACAACTTGCTTACAAACACAAAGAGTTCCATGATGGATATCCAAGAGCCCGACACCTGGGAGACACAGAATGACACGCTAAAGGTGCAGCTTCCTAATAGTGTCACTCTTGGGACCAAGACCGAAAGCGAGGAGCGGAACCGTTGGCCCTTCTCCATCCACACAGGTGAGGGAACCCAACAGCCGATTCCCCACTCAAGTGACAGAGTGTAATCAGTAAAAGAAAAGAGGAAAAAATAAAGCAATGACCCGCGACGGCTCCTGCCAGCGCCATGCCTATGTGCACAGTGTGAATTACTAAACAGTCTATTGATGAACTGAACATTACTGAGTAGCAGGAACCTTTGTTATGTGTTTGTTGTCAATACTGTATTCAGCATATACTGCATGTTACACCTACAATTTTGGCTCAAACATAGCAAACACAGCTCTGTGAAGTATTTTGCCTGTGATTCCCTTTTATTACATTAATCATATTACCTTGATAATTTCAATAACATTGTCTCTGGGCAAAGCTGTTTTATAATTTCTCATTCATAACATTTCATTTAAGTTGATTTTAGTTACGTTTTTATTGCTTTGATTATTTTATTGACTTACTATTGATTGCATTACTGAGTAGGCACACATCTTACAATCTGAAATGCTCTCAAACATCAGTCCCATTCATCTCATTTTCAGCAGAATTTCCATACCTTTCCTGTTTAGATTGACCAGCATTTATGAAACTGGGGAGAGTTCATTGTAGGCATAATATGTCGATAGCCGATCTTTGTGCTAAGAGCTCTCCAGCTGCAGATGGGAATAGTCAGTGTGATAGATCTACCTGCATGTCCCTCCTGCACTGCATGTCCCTCCTGCACTGCATGTCCCTCCTGCACTGCATGTCCATGCCGTAGCTGGGTGATGGTATCCTGCTGCTGTGAGAAGCCGAAGCAATAAGCTTGGAATAAGCATAAAACATTTTTAAGAGAAATGGCTACACATCTCCAAGGACGAAAATGTAATTGGAATAGTCTGGTTTCTGTACAGAAAGATAGGATAAGTGAATACATTCTACCCATGGCTGTCATTCTGTTCCCATTCTTGACAAGATTTCTTTCTTTGCCAAGTTCCGGAAGTCTGCCTACATGTGCCAGATGCTAAATCAAGACCACAGGGAAGAGAATGCAGGCCAAATCATGCTTTTCTTACAAGTTAATAAGTAACTGTTGTAGTGTGTCATCCTCCTCTTTATCATGTGTGGGAAAATTGATGGAAAAACATAGCTACTGTCCGTCAGAGTTTCTGTGAAGTCCTTCACAGCAACTTGTGGTTGACCCATCCCTACAGAGGAGAACAGCATCTCCAACATGACCAAGCACCCCCTGCATGGTTCCAGCAAGATGGTCTGGCTCATCCCCCTGGTGCTGGTGTCTGCTCTCACCTTTGTGTCCCTCATCCTGCTGCTGGCGTTAATGGTGTACTGGAGGTGAGACATGGCCTTCGGTTTCCTGTAAACACCACGTTTCCTTTAGGCGGACATTGCAGGTAGGGAACGTGCAGCTCAGAGTGTCCTTGGCATTTTCACGAAGCTCATTTGTGTGCACCTTCTAGCTGTGTGGGAGACGGAGAACGGCTTTTGCACTGGTGGCCCTGTCTTTGAACTTGACCCCCGTTGGTCTTCTCTGCAAAATTACTTAGCTACTGCTGTGCAGGTTTGAGTCCCCTAGCTGACTGCATATTTTTCTGTGAAATACCAACATATTAAGATCTAAGTAAATAAAAAGATAAATCACTGGGGAATTGCCAAGACTGCTGTGTATAGAAGTGGCTTTGTACCTGTGATCACAAGGTTGCTGCATCCAATCCTGTGACTTGCAGAGCAGTTTCACTGTTGGGCTATTAAGCAATATCCTTAATCCCCAATTGCTCCAGGGATACTGCCTTACACTGTTCTTTCATCTCTGCTTATACATCACATTGGATAAAAGCGTCGGAGAAATGAAATGTATAGTGTAGCGCTTTTGTCTTATTGTCCACCTGATGCCCCTTGCACTGGGTGTGTGGAGTTTGCGTGCTCTTCTTCCCGTGTAGCACACATGTGTTCTAGGTACTCCAGTTTCCTCCTGTAGTTCAAAGACATGTAGTTAGGCTAACAAGCTCTGTGCCTTATGCCCTAACACCCCCCTCCTCCCGCGAACCTGATCAGGATAAATGGTTAGAAGATGGATGGTTGAATGGATGGATGGATGAATGGATGAATGAATGGATGAATGGATGACCAGACGAATGAACATATTATTGCTATTATATACAGGGATGCACATAAGTGATGAACAAGTACACATTTGCCTTGTAAAGCAAGACGTGCGGTAATATATTGTCATAACATCGTAAATGGGTACTTATTTACTGTGCATCTGCACTGTTACAAGAAACTGCCAAGGATTTCAACCTTTATATGGCAAATGCGCACTTGCATACCAGGTATGCGCATCCCTGATCGTCTAGTAATTTCTCAGAAAAGATTCTTTATTGGTATACTCCTCCTTTAACACTATTGCATTCAGGCCAAAAAACAAATTTGCAAATATTTTCTTTTAGAAAATCTGTAATTAATATTTGGTTGCTGTGGGAAACTGGGTATCATTATTATTTGCATGCAGAAAGACTCTTGCCAAAATTAAGCATTTTCGTGTTTCAGATGGCCAGTTACCTCCCATCCACTTATTACTGCTTTCATTACCAGAGTGCATTGGCAATTACCCCTGCCACAGCTTGCAGCCCCCCTCCTAATGCCCTCCCAAGTTTAAATTCCTGACACAGTACTCTGGTGGGATGCATTCTCAGAACCCTGGGGTGGGGGGCTCATACACCATCTGCTGTCTCTCACAGTGTGGTGTTGATGTACAGTGATTGGATGCACTGGGTGCTGGCCCCTCCCCCTCCCCCTCCCCACCCTCCCCTGACGTGAGACCTGGCTCTGGAGCAGGGCCTCAGGGTCTAGGGGCCTAGTTGCCTGTAATTACAGCCAGTCATGCAAATCAGCCATGTGACTGATTCAGAAATACAATTGTATATGGCCACACACTAATGAATGAGCTGGCCTGCTACAATCATGTACTTATATATTCATACTCCTATATATAAGTTCAAAATATAATATAATATAATATAATATAATATAATATGAACATACCTGAATCTCTTATTTTCTGTATATGCTGATGTGTTTATTGATTTTTTTCTCCAAACAATACAAAGTGTAAGAGTGTACCTCCTTTATCCCAGCGCTGTGGTAGTGCAGGATTCCTGAACAGAGGCCCAGCTCAGTTCTTAAGCCACTGGCCTACATTTCTAGCTGCACCTCCCTGAATAACAAGTTACACGCGCACCTTGTGGAAGCCTCAACCTCCTATGCAGCTCTTTCCTGATTTGAATCTATACCATGGCAAGAGATAAGGTCAGGGCCTAGAGAGGCGGGAAGATGGATGAATTACTTTGGGTACCAGACTTGGAGCTTAATGCATGTGTTGTTATGGGCAGACAGAGCCAAGCCAATGTGCAGTCTGTGGACTGTGAGAGTGGCTGAAAGTGACTCTGGCTTGTTGATGTAAGAGGTTGGACTGAAACATTAGCATTGCCAAAATGATACACCCTGCTGGACACAGAGCCCCCCCAATGCTCACTCAAATCTGTTAACCCAGTCATGTGAAATTTAGCATCAGTGATCAAATTTTGCAGAAAACAGAGGGATCAGTCAGGATTTATATTTCAAAAGTTTGTACTTAATATTAAATATACTAGTACTCACAGAGGTGGTAATGATAAATAATATTCGTCTCTTCTCTTAGTGTAACTTAATGTAAGAGTAAGTTGACCACACTCATTTCCTCTTATGGCACATCAGCCACTCCTTATTCTTTATGTGTCATGATTTCACTGTAATAATATGTTTGTTTTGGCCCAACCTCTCAAGTTATATATGTGTCCATTGACTGGTTTGAGGAACAAAATTGACACTGAAGTCAACGTAAGTTGGGCTTGTTTTAAATTTCCATTCAGTCTGAGGTTATAGGGGTTTAGCATGATGGCCTTTCTGGGACGGAGGTCTTAGGTGGCATGTGGGCTCCATGCTGTACAAACACTGCTCTCCTGTGAGGCCTGTAATGTCCCCACTTTTTCTTCTGCTTTAAAATGAATCTCTAATCTGCTGGCTTGTACACACATTCCTCATCTTAGGAAAAAAAGAAAAACATTGTGCCAGCAGGTTGTTGAATTGCAGCCCAGTGCCTGTTTGTGTTTTGTGACTAGATCCAGCAAAGTGCCAGCGCTGTGGCCAACTGAACTTTGTCCCCGACTGCTTTGTGTTTGCCATGGTGTGGCTAGGTGGTCACTTTGATAGCAGGAGCTACATTGTGCAGGTTACCTTCCTTTAAGCTCCACATAGTATCCAACTAACTCCCCTAAAGGAAGTCACTCCTTGGGAAACTGGTCTTAGCGAGTAATTCTGAAAAAGTAATTTTTCTACAAGACAGTGGAAGGGAGCAGCGTTGCACAGTGCTGGGTGAGAATATTGGTGCATTTTTTCATGCTTTGCATTATTTCTTTCGAAATTTTGAACTTCTTTCTCAAAATGAGTTTTTAAACTTACATGGTAAAATCGAGTGAAATGAAAACTGATTTTAAAAAGCAGTCGGTGTGTGTTTAAAAGCAACAGTCTGCTGGAACCAGCTGGAGAGAATGTAAATGTACGGAATTACACTAAAGTAGAGGGCATGCAAGATGAGTTATTTTTAAGGAGAGCAGGCATAAAAAAGGCAGCAGCAGTTTAAAGGAGGAACGGGAGCAGGTGCAGGAGGAGAGGAGTATATTAAGGGAGCTGTAGGAGAGAATGGAATGCTGCTCAATGCTAATGCTATTGAGGCTGGCTTTTCCCTGCCTGGGAACCCCCCCCCCACCCTAAGCAGCCAGAGTGACTCTTTTGATCTGCACTGTGTTACATCCCCCCAGTGTGTAGTCAGACTCTGGGTGGGGGATTTTTAAGCCACTCCTCTTGCCTCGCCTTGCACCTCTCCTCCTCCTCCTCCCCCTCACTCCCCTCCCCAGTGCCACCATCCTGCAAGCACCATTGGTGGCTCCTTCCTTTACTTCCTCCTTTACCTCCTTTACCTCTGTCCTGCTCCTGCCTCTGGTTGTCCAAAATGACTGATCTGTGCTCTCTGCTGTGCTTCAAATACAGGTAGGAGAGGGCTAGCTGGTCTGCTTAGCTGGGCCTCGAAGCTGAATCTGAGCTTCACATTGCCCATCTTTCTTGTTTCGTCACCTTGAAAGTCTGTCCTTAGGTGTTACTTAATCGGTTTAAATTTTAAATGTTGTCATGTTGTTGGTATTTTTTTGGAAACTTTTCAGAGGTGCTGTTGCTAAATTATATCAAAGTCAAAATATGCATTTTAGAATTAGTTTTTTTTGTCATTAATGTGTACTCTGTATGTAAATGAAAACATGTATGTGTCTACTGAAATATGAAATGTCTTAGAAATTGAATTTTTTGTTTCTTTTTTAAACAAAAAAGATACTATCGCCATTCCTATGATGCTGAACTTTTGTAAAGGAGGTGGTGGTACAGACTTTTGAATGTGGTAAGAGGATAGTACAGACTTTCGGGTGTGTTGTTTGGGTGATACAGATTTATGGATGTGAAAATGGGTGGTTTAGACTTTTGTATGAGATGAGAGGGTGATACAGACTTTTGTATGAGATGAGAGGGTGATACANACTTTTGTATGAGATGAGAGGGTGATACAGACTTTTGTATGAGATGAGAGGATGATACAGACTTTTGTATGAGATGAGAGGGTGATACAGATTTAAGGATGAAATGAGAGGGTGGTACAGACTTTTGTATGAGATGAGAGGGTGTTACAGATGTATGGATGAGTTGAGAGTGAGGTACACTCTGCGATTCTACGAGTAGGCAGCTTTGCAGTTCTGATTTGTTATTAACACACTGATTTGTTATTGTTATTCTTGATTCCTAGGAGGTTCTTCCAGACGGCTCACTTCTATGTGGAAGATTGCAGCTCACCTCGTGTGGTGGTCCATGAAAGCACCCCTGTTATCACCATCCCAGGTGAGCTGTTCTCACCTTTCATTTTCATAAGCTACTCTCCCTGGCCTTCATAAGTGTTTTCTGTTGTTACCTCTTCAATTGTATGTAAGTTAAAATTCTTGAGTAAATGTTTTCACTTGAGAACATAAAATATTTTCTTATGCCAGACTTTCCTGATTCATTATACAAGCTTCACTATGGCTTCACTTCACGTGGCAAATGTCTTATCGACCAGGAGGGCATTCCCTAGACTGTTATTAGCATGTGTCTAGGTCATCTGGCTTAATTTGCTTCAGTCAATATGACAAATTCACACAAATCTGCATCCACCATTTTTTCAACACAAAACAATAAATTGAGGTTCATACATAAGATTTTAAATGCAAACAATTGTAATGATTCATCTCTAGGGGTGGCAGGGGTGGTGGGGGTTTGGCTCGTTGGTTGTACCATCTCCTAATAAGTTTCCTGTAGATACTCCGGATTACCCCTGCAGGCCTAAGACATGCTGCTGAATTAGTGTGTATCTCTAAACTGCATGCATGTGTATGTGCTCTGTGATGGTTTGGCATCCAGTCCAAGGTGTACTCTTGCCTTGTGACCTATGCTGCCTGGGACAGGTTCCAGATGACCCTGTCCTGGGTAAGTAGTTGGGAGATGGATGAATTGTCTGTAATTTTATCATAATTAGTTTCTGCACTGCAAGTTCCTCAGTTCTTGACCGTTTTTCATGAACCTCAAAGCTCCATTGAAATGATGTCAGGCAGTCAATAAGAAGACATTTACAATCTCTAGACAACAGGATGTGTTGGTGACTGTCTGTTTTATGGCTGGGGGATGCTTTAGTTGAAGAACAATGCTGCTGTTATTGATCCTCCATCTGGTTAGGTTTTATTGCTCTTTGCATTACCCTTGAAAATAATTGAGTACCTTTTGTATGGAGTCAATAGGAAAATTATTATGATACCATATTGTGCAAATGCACATAACAATAATCATTTTATGGTTCTCCGTATGCAGGAATGTATTGGCTCACAAGTCATTCCCCAATTTGATTCTAATAACTGAGGGGTTCTGGATGGAGTGTCACTATGAAAACAATGAATCGTGTCTCTCCACTTGTGCTTAATGGGGTATGGTCTCAAACCGCACTAACGTACTTTACCCTCCATTATCACTCTGTAGGATTAATGGGCACCTACATTGTGACTTTGGTATTGACCTTTGATATTTAAGGATACATATGGGATGATATGCTTCCTGTTAGGGAGTGTGTGTGCTTTGGTTTAACACTTGGCAGTTCATTTCTGCAGAAGGTTCATGTGAAGGCTATTCTGAAGAACTGGCCGTCCCTCCAAGATTGTCCAGACACTCAACACTGGCATACTCACACTCATTAAGAAAGCAGCAGCAAGTGTAAAGGACGTATGGCTCGTAGGATTATGGGAAACTGACCAGCAGTAATTAATTTCTATTTCATACTCGTGCCTTGTTGGTAAATTTCAGCGGATGGGTTTGATTTAAAAAAAAAAAAAAGCTGTCAGTCACCCAATAAGATCTTATCATCAGCTCAAATTGTCATCTTATTTTAAATTAGCCTCCTGTCCATTGCTATTTTCCCCAGTGTAATATTACAGACCATTGGCCCTCCCACATGTGCTTATCTATCATTTTTATGTGTTGTTAATTTGGTCTTGTTTTCTCATGATAACTGGTTTGGAGACACCAAACAGAAATTATACAGTTATGTACTATCTCCTCTGATGAACTGTTGAATTTTAATTTGAAGTGTAACTATCAGTATATAATTTAATCAGAGACAAATATCGGTTGAACGAAATTCTTTGTCAGCCTTGTGCAGGATGTGTGTTTTGAATCCAATTATATTTTGTTTTGCCTTATTACTTTGGAATTGGCTTTTCAAGGTATTATAATTTCTTTACCAAGAAATTATGATTTCACACAATCTTTAGCTGTTTAAAAATGAATCCATTTGTTGTTCAAATTATTCACTTTTGTGGTTTTTTTGAGACCAACTGTGTTCCCCTGGTTCTGAAGATGACACAATTTTTATAGGGGGATGTTTAAGACAGGAATGTGAATTTGATTGGTGTTTGAAGCAATGCGGAGGTGATATGAGAAGCTTTGCCTGTCGGTCTGTGTGTGGAGGTCTCAGGGTACCTGACTGACACAGCAAGCAGTCACATATTGTGATGCAATAAATTCAAATCTGTTTGTTTGTGCACGTTTGGACATCTATAGGTATCTTTCAGTGTTTGTTTCTAACTGCGTTTATATTGTGAAACCAAGAAATATGTATATGCTTGCTTATTTGTGTTTGTGTGTGTGTGTGTGTGTGTGTGTGTGAGCGTGTATCTGTTCACGTGTAGCCTTGTATGTGTGTACGTTTGTGCTTGATTATGGGTACACACGTGTGCATTCTACACAGCTATATGCTTTCATGTAAATATGTATCCATGCAAACATAAAAGTATTACTATTTGTTCATATGTGTATGTGTGTGTGTGTGTGTTTTATGTGCCTTTCTGAGTGTGCCCTCCATGTCTTTATTTGTTTTCATTTCATTCTATATTACTGTGTAGGATGGGGCCCTACAGGCCTGTAGGGCTGTGAGACAATGAACGCAATGAATCTTGGCCACCTTATCCAACAGCAATGGGGCTGCTGATAGTGCAGATAATTGTCTTCCCTAATCTTCTAGTAAAGGTCTCTGTGGACCTGGATCTTCTCAATGCTGTGGTCACACCTAACTCTTTTCATTCTGGGCCGAATGTAAATATTAATGTGGTTGCTAATACTGTGATTACGGAGTATGGTTACAAGAAATAACATTAAATGGCAACCGAGCTCTTTACAATAATGATGTGAGCAGTGCAGTGGTTAAAATGGCATCTAACATCTAGCATGTGACATGCAACCTCTCTGATATGCTCCACTAAAAGCAACACAGTACAATAGCGCAGACAGTCTCCAAGGTTGTGGTTTAATGCTGGGTTGGAACTCATCTACAATCAGAGTATAGACATCATTATGAATTCTGAAAGATGCCAATCTGCTTGTCTTTTTACTAAGAGCCAAGATTTCAATCTCATTTAAGCCATAATAATGTTTCTTTTCTTCAACGCATAAGGTTATAAAAATAAAATTAAAATTAATTTAAAAACTATTCACGGACTGGCCTGAATCATTTATGGGGATTACCTCACCAACGTGTGAGATATGAAATGTGTGTTTGTATATTTGTCTTAGCGAAATATTTTACAAATAAATAACAATGAAAACATCATCAGGGCACAGCGTTTGCTTCTTGGTCATTAGACTTTACGCATTTTAAGTGCATTTTAAGCACATTTTAAGCTTCACTGGATCTGGTGACGTCTTTATTCCAGATGACATGGACGCCATTCCGGTTAAGCAGTTCCTGAAGCATGTCATGGAGCTGTACTCAAATAATCAGCATGGCTTCTCAGAAGAGTTTGAGGTGAGCATTTGATCCTGGTTTACCTCTCGATTGATCGGGATATTGACAGTGAATCTGGATGCATTAACAGACTTCACCTGGTAGAGTGGGGAGCATATTTATTACCCCCATGCGAATGGCTTTGGCTCTTGATTCCTCTGCTGCTTAGAGCCAGATCAAGGAGTCAGACGGATGGCTGGCCGGCATGTGCTAAATCTGCCCGTGACTGTCTGCGCACACGTGTGCATGTGTGTGTTTTCGCTAATGGTGGGAGCAGATGGCTATGGAAGCAGGCTATTACGTTACTCATTTAGGCTCCTCTCCTGGCTGGTTGCTTTGGCCTGAATGTTGAGTCACATCAGGCAGGTTCATGCGCATGACAAATATTTACCTCTAGAGAGCTTGGCTGTAATTGGGGTCATCCAACGTGAAGCAAAAAAATATATAGATTATTTATGAGTCCTGTGGGCAATTCCATTGATCACAGCTGCGTCTCTGCTGTGATCAAACAGAAATTGATTATCCCCTAGCTTAGTCTTTGTGCTCTGCTATTGTTTATGGCATACCATTAGGTTTTTATAGATATGGGCAGGATGCATCTGGCCTTGTGGGATATGACACTGATGGCTCTTATTACAAGTCCAGGTCTCTGCCATATGAGTCACTGCATTGTAGATTCCTCAAATATTATGACATATTTTTATTTGCTCGATTTACCCAGTTCCAGATATACGTCCCTTCAGTTCTTCTCACTGCACTTAAATGACAGGACTCAGCAGCAATCTGCAGTTGTCAGTTTAATTGTGTGATTCAGAAGAGACGGAAGACGCTTCTGACGGCTTGTCCATCAGATGGCGAAGCGCCAGATTAGCCGGCAGAGCCGGTGGATGCAGAAGGTGTTTCCTGGGTATAACTGAGTATAGCAGGCTTTCTGCTCAGCATAACTGGTCCTGAGGCTTAGTGGACAGTGGTGAATAATACCAAATTTGCACTGGCAGCTGTTTGGAAGTTCATTTTATACATGGGTCATGTATCTGTGACCCCCCCCACCCCCGCACTGCTCTTTCCAGCTCAACACTTGTTATTTATCATGTGTGTGTCTTCTTATGTGTAAATATAAGTATAACAATGTTTCTTTATTAAAATCCTTAAGTAACATCTATAATATTTAATACAGCAGCCAGGAAATGTGCAATAAATTCACCGCAGTGATCAGTAAACATTACGCAAAGTTCACTAAAAAAAAAGAGGCGTATCGAACATATTGAAGCAGATGATTCTGAGATTTTCTATGCAGTGTGTAATGAACTCATAGGGTCTGTAAACGGCATCTGTCTCCAGAAAGCAGACAGCTGCCTGCCGCATGATGTGTGAATTGCCAGGGACAAAGCAAGTATCAGTGCACAGGGCGGAGTAAAAGCAGATGGGCCTGGAACAGAACCCTGGGTCTCCTCACTTCCATCCAGTCAGTGGTCCACAGTGTGTATTGTGCCACTGTGCATTTCCCAGCAAACCTTTTTTTTTTTTTGCATTAAATCTACAATAATATACCAAAGACATTAATGGGCAATCTCCAGCTGTCCAAATCGGTCTAAATGTTTCTAGTTGCTGTTTTTTATATCCATATTGGCTGTGCTTGGCATTAGAGAGCTGCGAGAATTAGCCAGAGGGTCATGTCCTGCTCTGCTCATTGCTTTGTGCTAGAGGGTTGAGGAGTGTCTCAGCAGGATTTTGCGTACCTGCCATTTCTCTCCTCTCTGCTTCTCCTAGGCGGTCCAGCACTGCACATCTGACATGAAGATTACAGCGGAGCATTCCAACCACCCCGACAACAAGCACAAGAACAGATACATCAACATCATTGCCTGTAAGTGGGCTGGCGCCCGTTTCATAGACTTGGGGAAGAAATCATTCTCGCATCCACAGGAGTTTCACGTAGGCATCCTTCTGAAGGCTGTCTGTGTTTTTTTCCCCACTGGGTGAAACATGTTGCTTTCTTCTGTGCTTCCTGATTTTGACGCAGATGATCATAGCAGGGTGAAGCTCCGCCCCCTAGCAGGGAAGGATGCCAAACACAGCGACTATATCAATGCCAACTATGTGGATGTAAGTTACTGTAGGATTTATTAAATTCATGCATCTTCTATGCTTTGCAATGTTGGACCATATAAATGAATCTGTACCATCTCTATTATCCCCAGGGCTACAATAAGACTAAGGCATACATTGCTGCCCAGGGTCCATTAAAGTCCACCTTTGAAGACTTTTGGAGGATGATATGGGAACAAAATACAGGCATCGTCGTCATGATCACAAACCTTGTTGAGAAGGGAAGAGTAAGTGGCCCATTTCCTTAAATGCAGAATATCCTGAGGCTCGGATGCGGCTGTGATCCCTGTATTTTGAGGAGCCGCTTGTTCTTGGCTTCGTGCCCACGGTTATAAGATGACTGACCGGTGCTGAGGGCGATGCTCCCAGAGAGGTCCGCTGAGATTGGCAGGTACGCTACAGAGCTGACTGGCCGACGTGACATTGCAATGCTGATAACTATTGTTATGCTCTTCCACTGCCTTTCAGAGGAAATGTGATCAGTACTGGCCCATGGAGAACAGCGAGGAGTATGGGAACATTGTGGTCACGCTGAAGAGCACTAATGTTCACGCCTGCTATACAGTGCGACAGTTCCTCCTGAGAAACACGAAAGCTAAGAAGGTGTGTGTGTGTGTCCACCTCTTCCAGGGCTCCACCTTGCGCTTTAGGTTCACATGCCCGGTTTATATGTCATTTGTGCAGTTTAATTTCAGTTTAAATGCATTATATTTTAACCTGCTTATTTAAAGAGGTATGCTGTGCCAGTGTGGTACAGCTGAGACCAGTTCTCTAAGACCCAACAGCAACAGTGTGGTGATACCTCCCGGGTTCAAATTGCCTCTTGATCAGTGAAAAATTGCCACCCACACCTGGCAGCCAGTGTTAAATCTACCAGCTCCTTTTCTCAGGAATTTTTTTAGACTGTTTGTAAAGCAATACGTCTTTACCTGTTAAATAATAACCACTGTTGAGGTTAGTTTTGAGGTTTTGCGGACACGCCACACAACACACCATAATTCACCTTTTAGATAGAGTCTCCGTTTTCTGTTGTTTGGAGAGAAAAAAAATGCAATTTCATCTCAGGGCCAGAGGGGACCAGCGAAGGGGAGAGAGAACGAGCGCATCGTGATGCAGTACCACTACACGCAGTGGCCTGACATGGGGGTGCCGGAGTACGCCCTGCCAGTGCTCACCTTCATCAGCAGGTCCTCAGCAGCACAGAAGGCAGAGCAGGGCCCAGTGGTGGTTCACTGCAGGTAGGAGGCTCTTTGGGAGCCAGAGAGCACCATTAGAGGCATGCTGGGAGATGAATGGTGGCGTTCTCCTGCCAGTGCAGCTACGGTGGCCCGAAGGCCATACAGTTCTTTCAGACTTGAAATGTATTCCTCCACACCATTAAATAGGCTGCTTATTTTGAGCTGACACTGCTGGTGTCACATTTGGGTCTTGCGTGTATTTCTTCCATTGTGTTACTTATGTAACCAGGATGCCTTCTGTTTGTATTAAGGGATACTACATTGAAAATGCGTGCATGCATTGTGAAATATCTCCTGCTTTTTGCTGTCTGTGAGGTTCTCCGTTTCTCTTCTAGTGCTGGAGTGGGCCGAACAGGGACATATATCGTGATTGACAGCATGCTCAAGCAGATAAAGGATAAAGGCACAGTCAATATTCTCGGATTCCTCAAACACATCCGCATGCAGCGCAACTACTTGGTCCAGACAGAGGTGCTGCATTTATTGTTTACATACACATTTCACTATATATATAAACCCTTATGTCCAGGGGCATAATATGGCTTCATCCTTCCCCCTAATAAACAGACTGTCGCATTTAAATGATTAAATTGTGTCCCCCCCATCTTGCACTCTCACCTACGCCTATGCTTGTGTCTAAACACCCTGTTTCGCAGTGCCCTGTGTTTTGCCCTCTGAAGGTTGGTTTCCACCTCCTGCAGGCACATTCCTTCATGGACATCCATATATCTTGTACCACTGCAGCTGGCCACTGCGTACTTTGATGCCAGTGCTGGGGGTGGCACTGTAGGGTAGCACTGTAGGGCAAAGCTGCTCATAAGTCACATGGATATTATACTAAAAATAAGTATTTTTCTAAAACCGCACGTTATCTACTAACAGTATGCAAGGACACTGATATGTGGCTTTGCATTTATGAATATATTTTATTTTAGTTAAAAGCTTCTGGGAGCCTTTACATTTCCGTAGTGAGGAAACAGAAATGTCGGTATTGCTGGAGTTCCTCAGTCAGCCATCTTTCGAATCCACTAGCCTTGTTTCCTTTCAGTCTGATTATAGAGGCTACAAAAGGTATTTATGTACAATCTTCGGTCCAGCTCTTTTCTGGCTTGCTGGTGCTTTTCGCCTGCCCAGCGAATGATCGTGACGCGTTTTTGTCACTGGATGGACCGTCCACATTATTCCAATTTTCAAATGGTCGATGACTTTACAAGCAGCCCCCAAATGAGTCCTTCGTGCCTGACCTCTGTGACAAAAATGACGTCACAACAGCTGCCCGCACCGCGGCGCATTCACAGTAGGTGGACACCTGCTCTGAGTTCTGTGAAAACCACCCCTTGTCACATGCTGCTTTTATGTTGCACCGTGCTGCTTGGGGGATATAATTTTAAAATAGACGCATGTGCGTCTTTAGTTACCTGCATTTGTGTGCCTGTCAGCATGCATTTTATAGAGAATGAAAGTTCTATTTTGAAATAATTTCATTACCCCATAATAATAGGAACCCTGTGCCTTGTATTATTTTTTTAAACTGTTCCACATCTCCATTTCTGAAAGGCAGAAATATGCATTTTCAAAGCCATTACATGCTCTTGTTTCAAGTGATCCCCAGGCTCTCTTCTTGATAAATGACGCTACTGATATTTAGTATCGCTACTTTCTTTGCATAAACACTAACTAAAGTTTGCTAAATGAGATTCCTCAAGCTCCCACTGCTTCCGTAATGGATAGAAGCAGCCTGTCAGGTCAGAGGTTTCCTGCAGCCTGCTGCTGATTCTCCGCGGCTTCTCCTGTATAGGAGCAGTACGTCTTCATCCACGACGTCTTGCTGGAAGCCGTTCTGGGCAAAGAGACAGAGGTGCCAGTCTGTCAGCTCCACAGCTACGTCAACAGCATCCTGACGCCGAGCTTGACTGGCAGGACTCGGCTGGAGAAGCAGTTTAAGGTAGGGGCCTTCATGGAGGGGGGGGCGGCACTGGTCACATTCCTTCTCCACTTGTTCAGCCTGTCTATTTAACTTATCACGAATGTCAGTGTTAATATGGTGCAATGACAGAATGGGTTCTGTTTGAGCTGGACACCCTGGATATCAATGTGAAAATAATAAAATGAGAAAACCAGAACAAGCAGGAGGCACATGCCTTGGCTTCATTCTAGCTCCACCGTAAAGTTCCCTGCTTCCCAACTTTGCCATGCGCTGATCAGAAAATGTCCGTTTTGAAGGCACCCTTAATTGACCATTAATTCCTGCGCTTAAGTCTCTGTGATCCAGCAGCAGCTGCAGGCAAAATCCTCCTGCTGTCGCGGAGGATTGCGCTTCGGTGCTTTTTCAATACAGGATTTTTAATTGAATCCCTTTCCTCACTAAGAGTCTATCCTTCCCTCTCCTGGGATGCAGGGAATGCACGTATGGAGAGCTCCTCATCTCATCTCGCCCGGCTCTTTCAGCTGCAGGCTGAGCAATCCAGGACATGTAATTAAACTGCATCTCTAACTAAGGTTTGACCTGGCCAATCACCAAAACCACAAATATTAAATTTCTAGCTGTTAAGGGAAAACACACAATACAAGGCTAGCTAGCATAGGTCCCTGTAAAATGTCTTTTATACCATTTCAGCTCAAAGGAAGCACTTTCCAATGTCAGGCATTTGATCTTAGATGTTATATATTGACATCCCCCCATCTCCTGCTGCACAGAAAGGATCATTTCTGCATGAGCATACCATGAATTATATGATTAAAACTAACAGCACACACCATCCTTTGCACTCCTTAAAGACCTAATTGATTTTCACTTTCAGTGTGGAGATGCCCTCGGGAATTCGTCAGAGTTTTGCTCCTTAAATAGACGTTAATGCCCATTCACTTGATTTGCCTTAGCCTTCAAGATCCTGAAGCTCTAGCTGTCAAAACATGACTTGTCATAGATTAGCTGTGCTGAGAAGCACGTTTCCCAAACCAGCCCTGAAAAAGTGAACAGCATGAGGGAAGATTCTGCGTCAAAGTTCCCAGCCCTCATACAGGTGTCACGTGGGCGTAGCTTGTCACAGCTTATTCACGTGGCGCTGCTCTCTTTGTCACTGTCACAGCTGCTGACGCAATGCAATTCTCGCTACGTGGACTGCTTCAGTGCGCAGAAGGACTGCAACAAGGAGAAGAACCGCAACTCCTCTGTGGTGCCCTGTAGGTATCAGCTACCATCCTTTGCTTAATTCCCATAGTTTGCATTTATCCATTTATGGTTCTTGTATCACTAAAGCTTTAGTATTACAGTCAATGCTGCTAAAATGCGACTAATGCATTCCTGAAATATCTCACTTTCACAAAAATTGCATGCAAAAATACACACATTCAATGGAAAAATAGAGCAAAGAGAACGCAGCTCCAAAACTTAACATGCCAAACAAAATAAATTTCATAACAAAATGGCCAGTAATGTTATTATAGTGTAATGTCTGGCAAGAAAGGAGGGGAATTGCTTAAATGGTAAATAACACTTTTTTATTAATCCTTAAATGGACAAACAGAAGCACCAAACTACCGCCACACAGTTAGGCACACACATGGTGGGTAGTTTGGACAACAGCTAAAAACATGTGAGCATCGGACAGGGTTCTCGCATGACACAGGCAAGGGCTCACATGACAATTGAAAACACAATAAGTTTTTATAATTACACAAACAATACTATGTGCTATTTACACATTTTCCCAGCATGTCCTGCACTGTTACTGGGCTCTGCTATACATAGCATCTCTCCCCAACAACGTTATGCATTTTAAATAAGAAATAATATTACTTTAATAAATTATATCATAAACACCTTCTAAGGGTCTTATGGGTCTCAAAAGAATTTCCTAGTAACTGCTTCGACCAAATGTGCTGAGTAGTGAACCACAGTCACCATGCAGTCGGGCATGCACACAGCACAGCTACAACAGTTATGGTATGTGGAGACGCACAGAAGGCAACATGGCTATTGACAGTCTACAAAAAGCAAAGTGAATTAAAAAGGTTGCTGTGTGTTTTTATATAATTTGTCAAATATTTTTTAGACTTCTATAATTTAAGACTTTGACCTGTGCAATGCGAGGATTGCACTGAAAAAAACTGGCTCAAAAGAATAATTTGTTCACAAATTGGACATCACTATGACATCACATCAAGTGGACATCACAATGACATCACATCAAGTGGACATCACTATGGTTCACTTAGTTGTTTTTGCATGCAAGTAGTATTTCTTACTAAGACCATATTGCGTTGTACTTCATGTAGTGCTTATCTCTCCAACTGAAAATCGTGCAAATACAAATATCATGTTGTTCTGGACTTAGCTACTAATATATCAGTCATGTTAAAACTGATTCACAGTGTGATATCACACATTGTAGCTGGACTGACTATAATATGTCTACCATGCCTAAGGTAGAACAACACCAACACGGACGTTTGCATGATTTAAAATAATGCAGTAAATGATGCTGAATGAAGCTGTTTCCCCCCAACCCCTCCCAACCAGCTGAACGAGCACGGGTGGGTCTGGTGCCAGTTCCTGGGATGAAAGGCAGTGATTACATCAATGCCTCCTACATAATGGTATGGCCGTCCTTCAGCTATGTCCGATATGCTGGATGGACTGTGTTTAGGGCACCATTATTCATCTGTGGCCCTAAAGAATGTCTTACTTAAAGCCCTATAAACCAAGACATGTCACAGTAAAATGCTTTATAATTCATTCAGTTTAACTAATACTGGTAGACTCTAAGCACTGATACACTTCAGCAGAAAATGGCACGATAAATAATTTTCTGTTTATAAGTCATAAAATGGTTACCTTTTTTAGTAAGGGTTATGTGTCACTGAGGGTCATTTTTTATCAGGATTTTTATCACCATGATATTTGATTCTGACTCGTATCCTTTGAAACCTTGTTAAAAAAATAGCATGCATTGTTACTCATGAAATAGAAATAATAATTTGATAGATGCTGATGTTTCGGATTGTTATATGTAGTAACTTATAAGGAGCAGAATGTTAGCTTTACTGGAAAAAACACAATACAGTGGAAACTGCATATAGTGATCACAGTTATAGCGATTGACTGCTTATATGGATCAAAAAGCTTGGGACAGAATGCAAATACTGTTTAAATAATTTGCATACAATAATCAAGAAGTCCACTTACAATGTTCATTTTGGGGGTTTTATACATAACAGCATACGGAACAATTAAACTACGATAAATTTATTGTTTTTTACTTTTCTGTCGGCAACCCATCTGCTTCTGGCTAACTATCTGCTGTATGCACAGAAAACATGATGGGGAAAAAAGTAATTTTCTCTCAATGTCTATCAAAAAATATAGACTCATCAAAGCTTATGATAAACTGCCAAAAATGAGCCAACGAGATGCAGTAGTGAAACTACAATAAGCTATATTTTATATACAGTACTGTATTATAGCATATTTGAGTTAAACTGTTGAGTGATTTAATTTGTACAGTACTGTAATTTGAAAAGGGTTTTAAACAGAGTCAATGAAATTCACTAAAGAGTGATGCTGTCTGTTCTATTACCTTATATTCATGTAATAAATACACAAATGTCAACTCGATAGAAATCTGCCTGACACATAAAGAAAGAAATAAAAAAGAAGGTTATAATGATCAATTTCACCCAGATGGAAATGATCACTATATGCGGTTTCTACTGTATGTTCATAAGATTATATTCATAAGATATCAGAGTGGTTTTTAGTGAATTATTTTTACAAACATTTTTACTAAAAACATTTGTACAAATGGTTATATCCTGAAGTAATTTGTATGTCACATTATTAATAATTCAATCAAGCCTCTAATTAATTATGACATAAAACCTGCATACACTTGCTGCCAGTACTGTACAAGTAGATAAGGTACAAGTTTGTAGCACATTTATGAAAAATGCATTATCTAACCCATTTCAGGGCTACTACAGAAGTAACGAGTTTATCATCACCCAACATCCCTTGCCCCACACGACAAAGGACTTCTGGAGGATGATCTGGGACCACAATGCACAGATCATTGCAATGCTCCCTGACAACCAGGGTTTGGTGAGAACAATGCCAGCATTGCAGTAATCATTTTAGCTGCTCAAGTTTCAAGAAAGAGTTTCTCTGACTGTTTGAGTTCTTCCTCTCAGTCTCACTCTGTTTCTAAGATATTCTTCTATTTCCAGCTATTGTCTATTGCAAATTGACTGCGAGGAAGAGTGACTTGCATTCATGTTCTTTTCCTGACACTCCACATCAGAGTTAGTTTTCTTGCTGGAGTGATTGATTTTTCAGTCTGCAAGCCAAGTGCACTGGAGTATTGAGCTCTGAAAGAGTTTTCTCTCGCATGGCACTGCTGGATCCACTTAGGCTGAGGACGAGTTTGTGTACTGGCCGAGTAGAGAGGAGGCCATGAACTGCGAGGCTTTCACCGTCACGCTCATCAGCAAGGACCGACTGTGCCTCTCCAATGAAGAGCAGATCATCATCCATGACTTCATCCTGGAAGCTACGCAGGTACACCTAAGAATGACCTTGTATTTCTCCAAAGCTCACTTTTCCTCCCACTTAGCCAGTACCGATTATCATGTGACATTGTTTCTATAGCCAATGTACAGTCAGCCATCGTGCATTCGCGCTTCGTGATTCGCGAATTCACAGATCCACGAAAATTACATGTACATGTTTCCTTTACATATATTATTGAATTGTACCTTGGTTACGTATATGACTTCTGTCAATAAGTTTACAGCCCCATTCGTTTACTCATTTTACTTTACTGTGAATGGAAAAGAAAATGGCAGCCAATGCTGTGTTCTATGAATCAGTAGGGGTAACATTAGTATACTGTACGGTAAATGTGCTCGTGTGACAAATATCTGTTAGGCGATACTGCACTCTATTTTTACATTAAACATTTGTTTTTTTTTAAAAGGTAATGTATTAAGCTAACTTTTAAATGAAATTAAAGTGTTCTGGGAGCATGATTGGGGTCATATTTTGCAGACAGCTTACTCTACAAAGAGCAAGTTGAGGGAGGCGTAAAGACAATTTCCCCACGGGGATCAATAAAAGCATCAATTATTATTATTATTATTATTATTATTATTATTTAGGGTTTAAACTATAGCACATATTGGCAGTTTTTGTAACTAGCAAACATCGAGAATCCTCCTCTTTCGCAGCGGGTTCTGGAACGTAACCTCGCGAATCTCCGATGTCTGACTGTACTTCATTCTCCCTTCACCCCCTGACATTTTCATATCAACCACTGTGAATTCATTTGCACAACAGGCTCAGTAAACAGTAATTGTTGTATTTGGTGGACGCTAAAATGTATTGCTAAATTATATTCATTACTCTCTGGCATCAATTTGCCTTACCTTCAGGATGACTATGTGCTGGAGGTACGCCATTATCAGTGTCCTAAATGGCCCAATCCAGATGCCCCGATCAGCAGCACTTTTGAGCTCATCAATGTCATCAAAGAGGAGGCCATGGCTCGAGATGGACCAACCATAGTGCATGATGAGTGAGTGGCTAACCTGTTCCATCCCTGCTTCCTGCAACAATGTTGGGGTCAAACTGAATTAGTGTAATCTATTTTACAGTCACAAGTACTTATGGATGTTAAATAATGCTCACTGCTTACTTTCTTGCATTCAGTTCTATACTCTGGGAATGCCGGCTTGCTTTTGAGGGGATGGTTTCTACTACAACATTAAGCTATTCAAGGGCTCCCTGAGTGGCTTAGTGAAGATAAAGGTTTCTTTGTGAGCTTAGGTTTCTTTGTGAGCTTAGATTTCCTACTACACCCCCAACCGGGGACTGAGTCCCAGTTTGTGTTATGTCATCTTCCAGTTCTGATGGGGAGTTTCTTCAAGGGCAAAACATAGCTGGCTTATGTTATCCTTTTGTCCCGGAATTTCTATCAGAGAAGACATTGGAATATATTCATCTGAGTATGAAGGTTTTAGACATCAGTGTCTTGCTCCCTCTAGTGGCACCTCAAGGTAGCTGACCCGATATTATTTATGCTCTGTGCAGATTTGGGGCAGTTTCAGCTGGAATGCTGTGTGCCCTCACCACTTTATCACAGCAGATGGAGAATGAGAGTGCTGTTGATGTCTACCAGGTGGCCAAAATGATCAACCTCATGCGACCTGGAGTTTTCACAGACATTGTGAGTGAAGCGTGTCCTCTAAGTGTTTCTGTTCATATTTAAACACAATTTTATACAAGTGTAGTTAATGTTATTATGTTGATGAAAATAGCCAGTAGCTTTTATAGCAGTAGCAGTTCAGTTCACCCCAATTCCACAATATTGTGTCTAATTGTTATTGAAAGGAGAGGAAAAGATATGTCATGTCTAAAATTAAATGTATTAATTGAGTATTTAAGTTTACTTGCTTATTAGGTAGTAGTACACCATGTATTAGTATTTTTTGATAAAATTAAAAAGGAAGTAGTGTTACTAATGAGATCATAGCTTTATTGTTTGGTTACACTTTAACCTCATTTTTCCTATTTATCCCTTTTATCCCATTTCAGGAACAGTACCAGTACCTTTACAAGGCTGTGCTCAGCTTGGTCAGCACCCATGAAAACGGGATGGCTCCCATGTCCATGGACAGAAACGGCACTGTGGTGATTGTTGACGAATCAGACCCTGCGGAAAGCATGGAGTCTCTGGTTTAATGACCGCTAGGTGCAAAAAGGCACTTAATTTGTACAACTTCATGGACTTGGCAGACTTTTTGAGGCCTTTTTTGCCAGACTCATGGTTAAATAAATAACCTGATTACTTTTTTACACTGAAAGAAGTTTTTTATATTTATTTTTGCCATTTTTGTCTTAATGTTATTCTACTGAGCATTTGCACCAGTTTTAAGTTCCCCCAATGAAACACAGTTCTCACTAGTTTGCACTATATTGTCAGTGTTACTGCCTTGTTACAATCCAATTGACAATATTGATTATTGAGCCCCAATTTGACATTCCATGGCAATTCTTCACTCAATTGTTATTGATTGATTCTTCTGTGAGAAGGAATAGTACAGACAATGTAGTTCTCAGCAGTTATCTTATCTATGTAACATATATAGACCGAATTACCAGGTCATAGCTGACAGCATTTAAAAGTGACAGTTTGTTTTTGTATATGACAGCAATGTTTACTTATTTAACTTTATTATACCAATTTATTAAGACACGCAAGGAATAAATATTTTGCATCTTATATATATTTTTTCAAAATCCACTTAATCCATAATTATTTCTATTCATAATACATGATATCTCCTCAATTTAATATCTTTTAATTCATCCAGATATTCCTGAAGGTTTGCCCTCTGAAAGTAAAAGACATGCTGCAGTTTGTTTGAAGCATGGCTTACGCTCGTCATTTTGCAGTTGAGTCTTATTTAATATTACTTGTGGCCATTGAGACAGCAAAGTGCCCGGAGTATGTGGTAATTTTTTGGAGAATATCTATATTACAGAAACTGGGCAAATATTCATAGAACACATTTCATAGGTATACATCATAGTGACCATTTGTTCTATGCTGAAAAATCACTATGGAGTGACGTGATCCAGTTTGTTAGATTCAACATTTTTCCCATCTTTGCTATATTTTACTCAGTTTTTATTTTATATTTCATGGTTTGATCTGAGGTGGTTTGGTTTGTGGCTTATTATATAAATATCTATTTTTTTTCCTCAGCAGACAAACAGGTTAAATTATTTGGTGTATCCCCTGCACTGTTTGTACTGTGAGGACTAATTTCATTTCTTGAAATGGTCCAAGGGTAAAACTGCTACAAGTATTGCTGTTTGTGTTTAACGATGCCTCATTTTTCTCTATCTGGCTTCTCACTTTTGCCTATACAAAGAGTCTAATCTAAGTCTTTGTCCTGTTAGATACATAGTGGAACAATACAAGTTTAATTAAAAAGAAATCTTTCATTCATCATATAGCTGCCTTGGTAATACTGTTATTGTGATGAAAAACATACACTGAAGAAAAAAATAATATATTTTACCAAAGATATAAAAGGGAGCTTTTTTTAGTTTTCTCTAGCTATGTTTTTCTATTCATGGATAAAAAAAAAACCCAGCTGACATATACTATTACATATATCTTGTTGTAACATTGCTGTGACATGCCTTTATGTTGTTACAATGTTGAAGCAACAGTGTCAGAATATTTCTGCTAGCTGAGACAAATATTTTGGATGGTTCATTCAATTGCTTTAAATAAAATGCATTTTACCTTTTTTTGGCATTCTTGTTTCCACAACATCTCATTCTCATTTCATGCTAAAAGTAGAAAACTGCTTTGACATCTTCGTACTTCCTTTGTTGCACTCTAAGGTTTATTTTTTATTTACTTGTCATTTAAGCCACAAGAAGTTACACATGAAGCTAAAATTGTGAATAAAAATATATTTTTTACTCTTGACAAGAATTGACAGGCAAACCTTCATTGAGAAAACGAAACACACACATTTTGAATCATTTATTTATCGTGAAGACCTGTAGTACATTTCTAACTTTCAAACAAAACAATATTGGTTATAATGTATTGCACCCTTTTTTGGTCATTTTATTTTATAATAAAATTTATTTTGTTGCCTGGTATTCTAAAAATGAATGTCAGTAAGTAAATCACAACCTTTTATCATTTGGGCCAACGGTCTGGTTTTTATATTAACACTGTGCTGCAATTGTGTTGCATCTACTTTGTTGACTATTTTTCATTTTTTTCCGAAGTAAACTTATGGATAAATAATTCCCTAATATTTTGTTAATAACACCAATATACGTATAATTTAAAAATATGTATATATTTTACTGGTTATACCCATCCTATGAACTTTGAAGCATTGTTGTATAGTTTTAAGAATCAAAAAATTTAATATGGATAATTCATTTTTTTTTAACCATTACTTCATTGTGTTCAAAGTGGACCTGATGAAACAGATTTTTTTATGGTGTCTCCATATTCAACATTCCAAAAACCAGACACCTTCTTCGTATTCCCTTTACCTCATGTCCAATCTTTTCTTCTGGTTTTCATTTTTTAATTCTTCAGTTATACTCAGTTGTCAGTCTGTGTGCAATAGAAATGTAAGCCACTGAATCAGTTTGTCTCAACAACCCACTTTTAAGAGATTGGGTAATGCCTCTTTTTTTAACTTGGATAAAGGGAAAAGGTTTTGTTGAAAGCTATATTGAATCATTCTATTATAGTGTTATTTAATATGTAAATTGTATTGCTATACATATAATAAAATATGGGTTTTGATGTACTTTATGTAATTCTTGTGTGGTCTGTGATTTGTTTTTTTTTAAGTAGAAAAGGCACAGATTTTGGATTCTGTAGTTATGAAGGTGATTTTAAAAAGCTGTTATTCTTTAAATTCATATTATATATTACTATGTATGTTTTTTTTAACTTGAGGATAGATCAGGTTTCACAATAAGCTATGTTAGGTTAACCACTGAAGACTGAAGGTAACCAGTAGCCAATAGTAGTGAGGCAGTGTCCGCAAGCTGAAAACTTAATTTGAGCAGTTTCCTAATTCCAGGCATCAATGACTCCATGCTGCTCATCACTTCATTAGTGAATTAATTGTTTGGGTAAAATATCACAATCTCTGCCTGTTAGGAATAAATCATTTTTTCATAATGACATCAAAGAGCCAATATGTGGAAACCCCAGCCACCAGGGGTCAGTCAGCATTTCCTTCCACTGCCAAAGAGGAAGTTTATCTACATGAACAAAAAGTAGTGTCGTCACCACTTGTGCAGACAGACAGTTGTATGATGAGTGTTTGTAGCTTAATCGTCAATAAAAGTCTAGGAATTCAATTTTAGATTGTAAGGCAGGGGGTGGCATGGACATTCTTGGCTGTGACGAAGTTATGGGATTAACACACTCATTCAGGTCACCTGCCCCTCATTCCAGATCATTATATAACAATGAGTTATGTTTTCACTCAATCCCAGAAAATGTGTCCAAAGCCTGAAAGCCCAAATCTAGGTTTTGTTCTCCATAGTGTTTTCTCTCCACTGCTCCCTTCTGTTTTTGTTAAACCTGCTTCTGCGGCTTCCTGTTTCACTGAGATGACAGAGGCCAAATTCCCCAAGTCGTTCATCAACATGGGAGTAGAGAGTAGAATGACAAGAGACAACAGTGTGTCGACCTTCATAAATCAGGCAATGGCTAGAAAAAATATCTATGGACTCGGAAATACCTAAATACCTAAATGTCCCCCACAATGTAATGAAAACCCATTTTTTGACATTGGGGGGATCATTTATCAGGTCCCCACAAAGATCTGTGAATGCAATCAAAAAATTAAAAATGCCAAAACTCTCGTATTTGTTTGATTACTTATAGTTAAGGTTAGGGCTGGGTAGGGGTTGTCATGTTGTGATTAGAGTTTTCCCCATAGAAATGAATGGAGAGTCCCCACAAAGATATAATTATACACCTGTGTGTGTGTGTGTGTGTGTGTGTGTGTGTAAACACACTACAGTTCAAAGGTTTGGGGTCACTTAGATATTTCCTTGCTTTTAAAAAAGCAAGTTTTTTTGTCCATTAAAATACATCAGATTGATCAGAAATACTGTGTAGACATTGTTAATGTAAATGACTATCATAGCTGGAAACGGCTGTTTTTTAATGGAATATCTATATAGCTGTACAGAAGCCCATTATCAGCAACAATGGAATGTTGTTTGCTAATGGAAGTTTATCATTTTAAAAGGTTAGTTGATCATTTGAAAACCCTTTTGCAATTATGTTAGCACAGACGAAAATTGTTGTGCTGATTAAAGAAGCAATAAAACTGGCCTTCTCTGGACTAGTTGAGTATCTGGAGTATCAGCAATTGTAGGTTCGACTGCAACCTGAAAATAGTCAGAAACAAAGAACTTTCTTCTGAAACTCGTCAGTCTATTGTTGTTCTGAGAAATGAAGGCTATTCCATGCAAGAAATTGCCAGGAAACTGAAGACCTCATACAATGCTGTGTACTACTCCCTTCACAGAGCAGCGCAAACTGGCTCTAACCACAACAAAAAGAGGAGAGGGAGGCCCTGGTGCACAACTGAGTAAGAGTTTAAATATATTAGAGTGTACAGTTTGAGAAACCAGCGGTACCCAAGGATTCCCTGAAGTGACACAGTACCGAAGGAGTCCAGTCTTCGTCTCATGTCACTGGACAGGGTCCATGTCTCACAGCCATAGAGAAAGACAGGGAGCACCAGGACTCTAAAGACTTGGACCTTTGTCCTCTTGCAAAGATATTGGGAATGCCACACACCCCTTTCCAGCGACCTCATGACCCCCCATGCTCTTCCAATCCGTCTGCTGCCTGAAGTCACCAGCGACCTGAATATCGCTGCCACGGTAGGTAAATCTCTCGACAAGGTTCAACATTATCCCCGCAGACAGACACACTACTGCCTGGATCTTGGTCTTTATCCAGGACACCTTCAATCACAGACACTCAGACTCCTCGCTCAGTCTCTTGAGAGCCCCAATCAGAGCCTCTATTGACTCAGCTAAAGATCAGTAAATCTTTCTTCACCAATGGACATCCCACAGCTGCTGGACCCCACGACCCTGCCCAACACACAGTCCATACAAGCATTGAACAGAGTAGGAACAAGGCCACACTACTGGCGAACCCTAGAATCAACTGGGAAGAATGTAGAGGTTCCCTTTCCACTCTGCACAGCATTCACAGTACCAGTGTATAAGCCGGCCATGACGTCCAGCAGTTTTGGGGGGATCCCGGGAAGTCTCAAGATGTTCCACAGGGCAACTCGATCAACTGAGTCTAACGCTTTATGAAAATCGACAAAGGCTGCAAAGAACCTCTGCCGATATTTGTGCTTGCGCTGATGAGAACCCTCAGTGCAAGTATACGGTTGATGGTTAACTTTTTAGGTATAAAACCAGACTGATCTGTTCGCTGACAGGTATGTGATCACGGATCCTGTTATGGATGACCCTAACAAGGACCTTACCCAGCACTGAAAGCAGTGAGAAAGCATAAGTCCAGAGCAGTGAGTCCAGAAAAAGATTACAAGTCCCGTTTCCTAACCCCACAGCTCGGTGCATTAACAACGGAGTTTACCCCGGTGAACGAGAGGGCTGTTTCACTGCGCCTTCGGGTCGGGGATAGG